CTTCTGCCCCTGACTAATACTTTTATTAACTCCACACCTTCTCCTAATTTCCAAACTCCGAATTTTCTGCATAATATTTACACCACACATTGCCCTTAAACAGGACATCTCCACTGCCTCCAAACGTCTCCTCGCTGCTGCATTTACCACCCAAGCTTCACACCCATATAAAAGTGTTGGCACTACTATACTTTCATACATTCCCTTCTTTGCCTCCATAGATAACGTTTTTTGACTCCAATATACCTCAACGCACCACTCACCTTTTTTCCCTCATCAATTCTATGATTAACCTCATCCTTCATAAATCCATCCGCCGACACGTCAACTCCCAAGTATCTGAAAACATTCACTTCTTCCATACTCCTCTCCAATTTGATATCCAATTTTTCTTTATCTAAATCATTTGACACCCTCATCACCTTACTCTTTTCTATGTTCACTTTCAGCTTTCTACCTTTACATACATTCCCAAACTCATCCACTAACCTTTGCAATTTTTCTTTAGAATTCCCATAAGCACAGTATCATCAGCAAAAAGTAACTGTGTCAATTCCCATTTTGAATTTGATTCCCCAAAAATTTCCTTTTATAAAGGGATATACATGCTCTCTGCCAAATCCCTAGGTACCTTCCTTTTTCAACCATTTATTATACAAAAATGTACCAACCACTTCCAAACACTATATCCCCTGCTTTTAACATTTCTGTCATAATCCCATCAGTTCCAGTGCTTTTACCCCCTTTCATTTTACGTAATGCCCTCACGTACCTCCCCCACCACTATCATTCTGCCTTCTTCTTCACTCCTAAATGATGGTATACTCCCTGACCATGTGCATTAAATTACTGCCTATGTTTCTTCATTAAACATTTTAAAAGTTCCTCAAAATTTCTCGCCATCTACCTATTACCTCAATTCTTCCCCTCTACTAACTCCCCTACTCTGTTTTTAATGACAAATCCATAATTTTCCCTTTTTGCTTTCTTTAAGACTTGTTTAACTCCATCCAAGTTTTTCTTATTTTCATTAAAATTTCTTGACAGTGCCTCCTCCCACTCTATCATCTGCTCTCCTTTTGCACTTCCCTCTTTACCCTTTCTTTTACAATCTCTCTTTTTTACCTTTCTTGGTTACTCTCACATATACTTCTGTTCTTCTTCTTTTTATACTCCCTTACACTCATTCGCCATCTCTCTCCCTACTCTGAGTAAATCACCAACTTCTCATCAAAGTTTCTATTCTATTTTTCTCTTCCCCTCTATCACCCCCTTTTCACTCTCATCACCTTCTCTACCGATTATCCATATCCTCTCTTTCCTCAAACTTAGCTATTTCCTTACACCTCCTTTATATATTCCACCAATATCCTCTTTCCTCTGCCCCATCTATACTCTGACATTAATACTGCATTTTTAAAACTATTCCAACCTCTTCAACCCCCCCATTACTCATCTTTGCACTATCCACCTTTCTGCCAATAGTCGCTTATATCTCACCTGAACTTTCCTCTCCCTTAATTTTTACACTTTCACCTCCCTCTTACTTGTTGTTGCCACCTTCCTCTTTTCCCATCTACCTCTTACTCTAACTGTAGCTACAACTAAATAATGATCCGATATATCAGTTGCCCATCTATAAACATATATATATATATATATATATATATATATATATATATATATATATATATACATGTATATATATTATATATATAATGTAATATATATATATATATATATTATTATATATATATATATTATATATATATATTATATATATAATATAATACATATAATTTTTTTTTTTTTTTTTTTCAACAAGTCGGCCGTCTCCCACCAAGGCAGGGTGACCCAGAAAAGAAAGAAAATCCCCAAAAAGAAAATACTTTCATCACATCATTCAAACACTTTCACCTCACTCACACATTATCACTGCTTTTGCAGAGGTGCTCAGAATACAACAGTTTAGAAGCATATACATAAAAGATAACACAACATATCCCTCCAAACTGCCAATATCCCAAACCCCTCCTTTAGAGTGCAGGCATTGTACTTCCCATTTCCAGGACTCAAGTCCGACTATATGAAAATAACCGGTTTCCCTGAATCCCTTCACTAAATATTACCCTGCTCACACTCCAACAGATCGTCAGGTCCCAAATACCATTCGTCTCCATTCACTCCTATCTAACACACTCACGCACACTTGCTGGAAGTCCAAACCCCTCGCCCACAACACCTCCTTTAACCCCTCCCTCCAACCTTTTCGAGGACGACCCCTCCCCCCCTTCCTTCCCCTACAGATTTATACGCTCTCCATGTCATTCTTTGATTCATTCTCTCTAAATGACCAAACCATCTGAACAACCCCTCTTCAGCCCTCTGACTAATACTCCACACCTTCTCCTAATTTCCACACTCCGAATTTTCTGCACAATATTTAGACAGGACATCTCCACTGCCTCCAACCGCCTCCTCGCTGCAGCATTTACAACCCAAGCTTCACACCCAAATTTATCCAACTTAAATCCATTATTTCTGGTTCTTACCTGGTTCAACACCTTCAGTACTTTATTAATATCTCCTTTGTTTATGCCCGTCATCCACTTATACACTTCAATGATATCTCCCTTCGTTCTACATCTCTCCAGAGAGTGGAGATTTAAGGTTTTCTTTTGTATTTCAATTCTTTGCTCTTTTTCTTCTTCTTCCTCTTTCTACAATAAATACTCACCTCTCACCCTACATTAGGACTACAAATATTTTAAGGTAAGTAATGAGTGTACTGTATATGCACTGTATCACTACAATAAATGCTACTCACCTCTCATCCTACATTAGGACTACAGTGGTACCCCAAGTTTCGGCCATAATTCATTCCAGAAGGATGTTTGAGTGTCATTACCAAACGGATTTGTTCCCATAAGGAATAATGTAAATTAGATTAGTCCGTTTCAGACCCCCAAAAATACACTTACAAAAGCACTTACAATAATACACTTGTATAACTGTTCGAGTTGAGAGCTGTACGAAACTCAGGGTACCACTGTACAAATATTTTAAGGTAAGTAATGACTGTACTGTATATGTACTGTATTTTACTTTTTTATTGTTTTTAATGCCTAGCTCTATTTTTAACATACTAAAAATGTTATAAATCTTTCTTCTTTCTTTCAACGTACCAGCCATATCCCACCGAGGTGGGGTGGTCCAAAAGGAAAAACAAAAGTTTCTCCTTTCAAATTTAGTAATATATACACGAGAATGGGTTACTAGCCCCATGCTCCCGGCATTTTAGTCGCCTCTTACGACACGCATGGCTTACGGAGGAAGAATTCTGGTCCACTTCCCCATGGAGATAAAAGGAAACAAACAAGAACAAGAACTAGAAAGAAAATACTAGAAAATCCAGAGGGGTATGTATATATATGCTTGTACATGTATGTGTAGTGTGACCTAAGTGTAAGTACAAGTAGCAAGACGTACCTGAAATCTTGCATGTTTACGAGACAGAAAAATGGACACCAGCAATCCTACCATCATGTCAAACAATTACAGGCTTTCGTTTTACACTCACTTGGCAGGACGGTAGTGCCTCCCTGGGCGGCTGCTGTCTATCAACCTACTACCTAGGAATGTTATAAATGGTGACATTAAAACAATATCTAAAGATGGTTGACACAAAGTACAGTATGCTTGAAATATCAGTAAGCCACAGCTTACTGATATTTCAAGCATACAGTGAAGGCTCCTCGTTTAATGACCAATTCGTTTACTGACCTACTCTGAGGAACCTAACTCGGTGATTAAGTGAGGAATACCTGTATTTCCCTTCATGATTGGTATCACTATCAGTGGCCGGGATTTTCAATTATGACCTCCTATGACCCTTGGGAACAGAATATGGCACACTGCCTGAATATAGGTAATTACGCCTATAGGTAAGATTCACTAGGGAATAACGTATATATCACTGTCACCCACGGAATCCTTTAAAGGCATAAAATCAATCTCATCGTCACTGATATCACTTTCACTATCATCGTTAACAGAACTGCGGGACAATGTTAATTTTCGATTCCACCTTAGCCTCCGAGAAGCAACACTGGCCACCCCAGAGGTGCTGGGCTGAGGGTCTGATGTAGCCATGCTGGCCACTCCAGATGTGATGGATTGAGGGTCATCTGGGTTATCATCGATACTGTCAATATTTCCTCGATCATTTGAGGTTACATCTGTCTTAAATCAACTAAACTCAGGTTCCATATCACTTTCCTTGAATATAACAATGTTGATACGATGGGGCACAAGTGAATCCTGGGGGTCTGCCATCACGTTGGCCCTAGCTGGTACTGAAGCAAACTGGTGCTCCCACGTGGTACTATAGGGTTCCCGATTATTTTAATACTGCGCACACTGAGTGCACAGACCCATTCTCTCATGTCTAGGCCTCTCAGGCCCATGGCACCAAATTTGAAGGCAGGAAAAATGGTGCACTGAGCTATGTCTGGAGTGCTAGCAGTAATGCATATTTTAATAGTTTGAAAGTTAAAAGGTTAAAAAGAAATTGTCTCAGCCCAAATACAACAGCTTATAATAAAATATTCCCTCATCTTTTTTTCCACCAATTTTTCAATATATTACTGAAAATGGCTTTCCTTCAAGCTATATTATTAACTGCCTAAGCAAGACAAAAGTATATTGACATTCAATTTAACACTGGAATGCAAAGATAACTCAATATCAAGCAGTGACTAAGATAACATTTAAACTTGTGACAGCAGTAAGCTATGGAAGCAGCAAGAACATTGTGTACACATCATAAATCATAAAATGAAAAATATAAAGCCTTCTTGAAGTACTGTAAAGGCAATTACTATAGTCATTCATGCTAAACAGAAATAAGGAGGGCTTACATATACTGTATCTGCATGCACATTTACAGTAAATAGAATAAGCCCTATCAAATTCCTCATCACAAGAAAATACCTACATACCTGTCTTGTAAGCATGTTCAGCAATATATATAGCAATCTTTAATGAACATGGCTTAATGTCAGATATGGGCGGGTACAGCCGTCCATTGGCAAGATCTTCCTCTGTTACCAAGTCTGCAAGGGCCTGAAAGTAGTGAAAAAATTAAGGAAGAAAATTAATGTCTTTGGAACATTTCATATTTAAGTGAAAAACAGTGAATCCCTCTAAAAACAAACCTTTCTAAATTGATCACAATTCTCAGACCCAGTTGACTCAACTTTAAATTTAATGTCTGAGCACCAACCACTTTTGTAAATTGGTGAAGATTTTTATCCCAGAGCTACATGATTCAAGGTAGAAAGTTGAAAGTGAACATATATACGAGTAAGGTGATGAGGGTATCAAACGATTTAGATAAAGATAAATTGGATATCACATTGGAGGGAGGGAGTATGGAAGAAGTGAATGTTTTCAGATATTTGGGAGTTGACTAGTCAGCAGATGAGTTCATGAAGGATGAGGTTAATCATAGAATTGATGAAGGAAAAAAGGTGAGTGGTGCATCGAGGTATCTGTGGAGACAAAAAAAAATGTTATCCATGAAGGCAAAGAAGGAAACGTACAAGAGTACAGTGGACCCCCAGTTAACGATATTTTTTCACTCCATAAGTATGTTCAGGTGCCAGTACTGACCGAATTTATTCCCATAAGGAATATTGTGAAGTAGATTAGTCCACTTCAGACCCCCAAACATACACGTACAAACGCACTTACATAAATACACTTACATAATTGGTCGCATTCGGAGGTAATCGTTATGCGGGGGTCCACTGTATAATGGTACCAGCTCTTTTATGTGGGTGTGAAGAATGGGTTGTAAATGCTGCAGCAAGGAGGAGGCTGGAGGCAGTGGAGATGTCACGTCTAAGGGCAATGTATGGTGTAAATATTATGCAGAGACTTCGTAGTGTGGAAATTAGGAGGCGTGGAGTTACTAAAAGTATTAACCAGAGGGCTGAAGTGGGGCTGTTGAGGTGGTTTGGTCATTTAGAGAGAGTGGAACAAAGCAGAATGACTTGAGTGTAAATCAGTAGGGTAAGGAAGGCGAAGTAGGGGTCACCCTCGAAAACATTGGAGGGAGGGGGTAAAGGAGGTTTTTTGAGTGAAGGGCTTGAACTTCCAGCAAGCGTGCATGAGTGTGTTAGACAGGCTTGGAGACAAATGGTTTTTGGGACCTGATGAGCTGTTGGAGTGTGAGCAGGGCAATATTTTGTGAAGGGATTCAGGGAAACTGGTTAGCCGGACTCGTGTCCAGGAAGTGGGAAGTACAATGCCTGCACTAAAGGAGGGGTTTGGGATACTGGCAGTTTGGAGGGACATCTGAACTGTCATATCTGGGTGCCTCTGCAAAGAGACTGATTATGTATGAGCGATGGTGAAAGTGTTGAATGATGATAAAAGTTTTTTCTTTCTTTTAGGGTCATCCTGCCTCGGTGGGAAACGGCCGTGTTAAAAAAAAAAAAACATTTACTAAATTACAAAAGTTAAAGCGAGGATAAAGTCATGTTACTGGTAAATAATGTGTACAGCCTAATGCAAGTAGGCACTTCATTTTCACCAATGTCGAAATATGAATACCTGAATATTACGAGACAATGAAATATCATATATAACTTTTCCATTAGGAAATGGGAATTCTTTAGTTAAGAAAAAGTTAAAAGGACTCCAAGAGTTTATATTCAGTGTTATAAGACTGTCTTGCTATAATACCTTCAAGTATCACCAAGAATTACTATTAGTATGGCATGTGTCTTCATCAAATGATTAATATATACTTCCGTACATAGAAGCCTGAGACCTACCCTGGCTGCCATAAGGAAGATTGAATCTTCAATGTGATGGATACCAGTGCATATAACACCCAAAGCAACACCAGGGAAGATGTATGCATTATTGCCTTGGCCAGGGTGGAATGTCTGACCATTAATAGTTACTGAAGTGAATGGAGAGCCGGATGCAAATACAGCACGACCATCAGTGTACTTATAAGCATCTTCTGCAGTGCATTCAGCCTGAGGATGTTTGTACATTATTTTAAAAAGTTAACATGTAAACATATCATTTCACCACATTTGAAGTTCAAAAACATCTTTAAATATGTCTAATATCAGAAGAAACTAGTGTACATAGATTAAGCATTAAAAGAAAATATGAAAACTGAAAAACAACCATAATTTAGCATCAATAAATTGTACAACTTAAATATAACTGGTGCAACTATGCCGCTGTTGATGACAAATGATCATTCTTTTCCCAACTTCAATGCACCATATAATTTTAAATTTTCACCAGATTCCAATCATTTTAGACTCGATTCATAAAAATGCACTCTTTCATATGATCTATTAGAATTTTTTTTTCTGAGGTTAAAACTTCATTATACCCTGATTCCAACCCTTCCTGTTATGTACCACATGCCTTCCATTCACCTGATTTATACAGTCAACCCATTTTATTCCATCCTTTCTAAAACATATGATTTTTCATATACAGTACAATCAGGAAATTTACTGAATCCCTTATGTCTTTTTGTATAATTACAATAAAACAGTCCTTACAGATTATGGCAATAAATGTCTGGATTGTACTTGTCTTCATTTGTTTAATTTTTGTTTAGATTTTAATGAATTTCAATATGTATAGTACCCTATTAACATTAGAACCATACTGAAGGAGATAAAGCCCCAAAAATTTTCACAATGCTTTACTTCTAACCCCCTTTTCTTAACCATATAAAACTATGTTCACTTAGTACCAGTAAAGGTTCACATTACATGGCATTCTCGGAATACGTCACTTACATTATACGAGGACTTGAGTCTACTAGACCATCTCTTATTAACAAAAGTAATGTAGAACTATATCAATTAAAAGCAATATGGTTATTCAACAAGCATACCTGACTAGTTGGGTTACTCAGAGCAAAGATGACAGGACGCTCATTGAATGAAGCCATATCTTGCAGTAGCTGTGGAGTGAACACACCGCCAATTGCAGCAGCACCTAGAAATAAAACATGAAACACTATAATCACCCATATTAAGAATTTGGGTTTATACACTAAGGGAGGGGGGAGTTAGGATGAGATGTAAGGAACTATTGGGAAAAAGGTGGGCTAATGAGAGTATAGATAGTACGGGGTTGAAGAAGGGTGGAATAGTTTTAAAAAAGCAGTGTTAGAATGCAGAGCAGAGGTTTGTGGCTATAGGAGGGAAAAGGAGTGATTGGTGGAATGATGAGGTAAAGGGTGTGATAAAAGAGAAAAACGTTGCTTATGAGAGACTGTTACAAAGAAGAAGTGATATAAGAAGGGTGGAGTATATGGAGAGTAAAAAAGGTGAAGAGAGTGGTGAGGGAGTGCAAAAGGAGAGCAAATGATACAGTAAGCGAGGCGTTGTAAACAAATTTTACCGAGAATAAGAAAAATTTTGGAGCCAGATAAATAGGTTAAGAAAGCCTAGGGAATGAATGGATTCAATAGTTAAAAACAGAATAGGGGAGTTAGTAAATGGGGAGTTGGAGGTATTGGGAAGATGGTGGGAATATTTTGAGGAACTGTTAAATGTTGATGAAGAGAGGGAGACAGTAATTTCATGAACTGACCGAGGAGGTATAACATCTTTTAGAAGTGCAGAAGAGCCGGATGTGAGTGTGGGGGAGGTGCGTGTGGCATTAGGTAGAATGAATGGGGTTAAAGCAGCTGGAACTGATGAGATCATGACAGAAATGTTAAAAACAGGGGGATGGATATAGTTTTGGAGTGGTTGGTACTTTTGTTCAGTATATGTATGAAAGAAGGGAAGGTACCTAGGGATTGGCAGAAAGTGTGTATAATTCCTTTATATAAAGCAAAGGGGAACAAGAGAGATTGTAAAAATTATAGGGGAATAAGTTTACCGAGTCCTGTTAATGTTTTACATGATGGAAGGAATGCTGGTGTCTTTTTTATCTCAAATATGCAAGGTTTCAGGTACATCTTACTACTTCTACTTACACTAACGTCACACTACACTTGCATGTACAAGCATATATACACACATCCCTCTGGGTTTTCTTCTATTTTCTTACTAGTTCTTGCTTATTTCCACTTATCTCCATGGGGAAGTGGAACAGAATTCTTCCTCCGTAAGCCATGCATATCATAAGAGGCGACTAACATGCTGAGAGCCAGGGGCTAGTAACCCTTTCTCCTGTATACATTACTAAAGTTAAAAAGAGAAATTTTCATTTTTCTTTTTAGGTCACCCTGCTTCAGTGGGATATGGTCAGTTTGTTGAAAAAAAAAAGTTAACAAGTATACCAGGTAAAGTGTATGGTAAGCTTATTATTGAAAGAATTAGAGTAAGACAGAGAACATGATTTCAGATGAACAAGGTTTTAGAATGGGTAGGGATGTGCAGATCAAGTAGTTACATTGAAACATATAAGTGAACAATATTTAGATAAATGAAGGGAAGTTTTCATTGAATTTATGGATTTAGAAAAGGCATATGATAGGGAAGATAGGGGAGCAATGTGGCAGATGTTGCAAGTATATGGAATAGGTAGTAAGTTACTAAATGTTATAAAGAGTTTTTTGAGGAGAGTGAGGCTGAGGTTAGGGTGTGTAGGAGAGAGAGGGCAATTACATTCTAGTAAAAGTAGGCCTTAGACAGGGATGTGTAATGTCACCATGATTGTTTAACATATTTATAGATGAAGTTGTAAAAGAAGTAAGCACTAGGGTGTTGGGGAGAGAGGCAAGATTAAATTATGGGGAATCAAATACAGAAAGGGAGTTGACAGTTACTTTTTATCGATGATACTGTGTAGAGAGGATGGAACGTAACAGAATGACTTCGAGAGTGCATAGATCAGTAGTGGAGGGAAGGCAAGTAAGTTTATTCAGGTATACACAAATACAGTTACATAGATTATCATACACAGCAGCATATGTGTAAAGTACCTAGGATAACCCAAAAAAGTCAAGTGACTTGTTTCCATTGGGGTCAGCCTAGGAAATGCTGGAGGGAGGGGGTAAAGGAGGTTTTGTGTGCGAGGGGCTTGGACTTCCAGCAAGTGTGTGTGAGCATGTTAGAGATGTGAATGGAGACAAATGGTTTTTAGGACTTGACATGCTGTTGGAGTGTGAGCAAGGTAACATTTCTGAAGGGATTCAAGGAAACCGGCAGGCCGGACTTGATTCCTGGAGATGGTAAGTACAGTGCCGGCACTCTGAAGGAGGGGTGTTAATGTTGCAGTTTTACAACTATAGTGTAAGCATGCCTCTGGCAAGAAAGTGATGGAGTGAATAATGAAAGTTTTTCTTTTTTGGGCCACCCTGCCTTGGTGGGTAACGGCCATTGAGCTGTTAATAATAATAATAATAATAATAATAATAATAATAATAATAATAATAATAATAATAATAATAATAAAACTGTGCTTTTGGGAAATTATAAAGAGAAGTTGTGAAGGTTAGTGGACGAGTCAGACAGGGTGTGTAAAGAAAGCTGAAAGTGAACATAGATAAGAGTAAGGTGATGAGGGTATCAAATGAGTTAGGTAAAGAAAAATTGGATATCACTTTGAAGGGAGTGAGTATGGAAGAAGTGAATGTGTTCAGATATTTGGGAGTAGAGTTGTCAGGAGATGGGTTTATGAAGGACGAGGTTAACCAGAGAACTGACAAAGAAAAAAAGGTCAGTGGTGTATTGAGGTGTCTGGAGAGACAAAAAACATTATTCATGGAGGCAAAGAAGGGAATGTATGAGAGTACGTATAGTGGTACCAATATTCTTATGTGGGTGTGAAGCATGGGCTGTGAATGCTGCAGTGAGAAAGAGGCTGGAGGCAGTGGAGGTGTCGTGTCTGAGGGCATGTGTGGTGTAAATATTATGTAGAGAATTTGTAGTGTGGAATTTAGGAGGTGGTGTAGAGTTACTAAAAGTACTATTCAGAGGGCTGAAGAGGGGGGGGGGGGTTGAGGTGGTTTGATCATTTAGAGAGAATGGAGTAAAATAGGTTGATTTGGAGGGTGTATAAATCTGTAGCGGAGGGGAGGAGGGTTAGGGGTTGTCCTAGGAAAGGATGAAGGGAGGGAGTGAAAGAGGTTTTGTGTGCAAGGGGCCTGGATATGCATCAGGCATATGTGAGTGTGTTAGATAAGAGTCAAAGGAGATCAATGGCTTTTGGGACCTGATGAGCTGTTGGAGTGTGAGCAGGGTAACATTTCGTGAAGAGAGTCAGGGAAATTGGTAGGCCAAACTCGAGTCCTGGAGGTGGGAAGTACAATGCCTGTGCTTTAAAGGAGGGGTTTGGGATATTGGCTGTTTGGAGTGACATCTAAACTGTCGTATCTGGGCGGCACCTCTGCAAAGACAATGATTATGTGTGTGTGATGGTGAGAGTGTTTCTTTTTTGGGTCACCCTGCCTTGGTGGGAGACAGCCATTGTGTTGCTGAAAAAAAAATTAAGAATTTTTGAAACACCAAAATTTTCTGATAAAAGTTCCATGATACTACAGTCCAGACACTTTTTTAACACTGACCATTTCCCACCAAGGCTGGGTGGCCCAGAAAAGAAAAAGCACTTTCACCATCTCTCAGTCCATCACTGTCTTGCCAGAGGGGTGCCAATACAACAGTTCAAAATTGTAAATATCCCCACCCCTCTTTCAGTAAATTATTCAACCCACTGATAATGTACAGAACAGGATAAAAAGATATTTTAACATGCTGCTTACCAATGATGGCAGTTGGCTTAAGTTCTCTGACGATGTCTTCAAGTTCATCCATTGGTACATGCTCATGGGCAAAGATTTCCTTGTGCCCAGAGATGCCACCCTTAGGACGGTTTTTTACAATTAGTCCCCGAGAGTCTACTAGCCAGATCTTGGATCGAGCCTCTTGTTCTGGAATGCCTTCCTCAATCATGGCCATCACAATAAGATTTGCAATACCAATTGAAGCCTATGAAAAAATTTTTTTAAAATGTAATTGCAAATCCCAAACCAATTATAATAAGAGGTTTAATAAAAAAAAATCACAATATCCTGACTCTAAATATTGAAAACTAACATTCTGGTGGTTATTATTTGATAATTGTACAGGAGTGACCAAAACATTATCTCAAGGTTCCTCTCCAAATTGTGGGTTACTTGTAAATATAAGGTTGCTATTATTTTTAATACTTTTGCTCATTATTTTTTTTTTTTTTCAACCTGCCGTCTCCCACCGAGGCAGGGTGACCCAAAAAAGAAAGAAAATCCTCAAAAAGAAAATACTTTCATCATCATTCAACACTTTCACCACACTCACACATTATCACTGTTTTTGCAGAGGTGCTCAGAATACAACAGTTTAGAAGCATATACGTATAAAGATACACAACATATCCCTCCAAACTGCCAATATCCCAAACCCCTCCTTTAAAGTGCAGGCATTGTACTTCCAATTTCCAGGACTCAAGTCCGACTATATGAAAATAACCGGTTTCCCTGAATCCCTTCACTAAATATTACCCTGTTCACACTCCAACAGATTGTCAGGTCCCAAGTACCATTCGTCTCCATTCACTCCTATCTAACACGCTCACGTACGCTTGCTGGAAGTCCAAGCCCCTCGCCCACAAAACCTCCTTTACCCCTCTCTCCAACCCTTTCGAGGACGACCCCTACCCCGCCTTCCTTCCCATATAGATTTATATGCTTTCCATGTCATTCTACTTTGATCCATTCTCTCTAAATGACCAAACCACCTCAACAACCCCTCTTCTGCCCTCTGACTAATACTTTTATTAACTCCACACCTCTTCCTAATTTCCACACTCCGAATTTTCTGCATAATATTTACACCACACATTGCCCTTAGACAGGACATCACTGCCTCCAACCGTCTCCTCGCTGCTGCATTTACCACCCAAGCTTCACATCCATATAAGAGTGTTGGTACTACTATACTTTCATACATTCCCTTCTTTGCCTCCATAGATAACGTTTTTTGACTCCACATATACCTCAACGCACCACTCACCTTTTTTCCCTCATCAATTCTATGATTAACCTCATCCTTCATAAACCCATCCGCCGACACGTCAACTCCCAAGTATCTGAAAACATTCACTTCTTCCATACTTCTCCTCCCCAATTTGATATCCATTTTTCTTTATCTAAATCATTTGATACCCTCATCACCTTACTCTTTTCTATGTTCACTTTCAACTTTCTACCTTTACACACATTCCCAAACTCATCTACTAACCTTGGCAATTTTTCTTTAGAATCTCCCATAAGCACAGTATCATCAGCAAAAAGCAACTGTGTCAATTCCCATTTTTAATTTGATTCCCCATAATTTAATCCCACCCCTCTCCCGAACACCCTAGCATTCTTCTTTTACAACCCCATCTATAAATATATTAAACCACCATGGTGACCTTACACATCCCTGTCTAAGACCTACTTTTACTGGGAAGTAGTCTCCCTCTCTTCTACACACCCTAACCCTCACTATCCTCATAAAAACTCTCTACAGCATTTAGTAACTTACCACCTATTCCATATACAGTGGTCCCTCATTTTTCGTAATTAATCCGTTCCTGGAGCTGTTACTATAAACGAAATTTACGATTTGCGAATCAATTTTCCCCATAAAAAATAATGTAAATACAATTAATCCGTTCCTGACACACAGAAGTATTAAAACAAAAAATTTTTTTACATGAAATATACATGTAGTACATAAACAATACAATGGGAAATGATAAATGAAACATTAACAGCGTAACACTTACCTTTATTGGAGATTCTTCTTAGTGTATGGGAGACTGGAGGAGGAGAGAGATTGGATTGTTTACAGTTTGGAAGGGGAATCCCCTTCCAGCAACACCTCAGGTACCAATTGCTTCTCTGGGGTTGCTTCTCTTGTTTCTTAATGCCACTTGGACCACCTTGAGAGTCACTCTAGTCCTGTCTCGCAAAGTAACTGTGGAGAGAGCTCTGTTTCTGGCGTCTCTTTAACACTTCCCTAAAATGGCCCAAGACTTTGTCACTGTACATATTTCTCACCTTTACCACAGGCTTGGCACTAATAGCTTTCTTTGGAGCCATGGTAGCTTATTTAGTACTTGCAAGCACTAAAATGAGTGGATTATGAAATATTTCGTAGGAGCACTTGAGGGAACCTTCACTCACTGGTAAACATTGCCAGAATGGCTGGGTAGGGAGGCCGCCCCGGCTCACACCGTGCATACGCGTCCCAGACGAACTACTATTCGCGAGTCAACCTATGAAAAGCGAGTCCATGTTTATACGAAAATACCCCTATGATTGGCGAAATTTACGATTGCCGAGAACTACGAAAAGTGAGGGACCACTGTACTTGCAACATCTGCCACACTGCTCCTCTATCCACTCTATCATATGCCTTTTCTAAATCCATAAATGTAATAAAAACTTCCCTATCTTTATCTAAATACTGTTCACATATATGCTTCAATGTAAACACTTGAACTACACATCCCCTACCCACTCTGAAACCTCCTTGCTCATCCGAAATCCTACATTCTGTATTACCTCTAATTCTACCATCACTTTAATTAAATATTTACCTAATTATTTACCCAAACTCATTCTAAATGACGCGTTACAGCATAAATTACAATCATTATCAAAAGCAAATGCTGAAAATGTCTATAGCTACATTTAAACACAATAACACTAAAGACACTTCAACATGCAATAACTGAAGCATAATTATCACCATTTAAAAATTTTTTCTCTATAACAAGTATCTCATGAATCTAGTCTTTATCTTATAGTTTCATATGTAATCACTCAATTATTCAAAATTTATCATTAAAGTGAAAAAATACAAATACAGTAAACCCCTGATATTTGCAAAGTAAGATTCTATAAAACAAGTGTCAAACTCAGCAAGTGCCACAAGAGGGAATCATTGGTGTAAAAAAAAGACTTGGGATCACATGCCAAACCAAATATCTGAAAAATGTGGAATATTTTATTTTGGTATTAACTTTTGATGATGACAACACACAGAACACTGACAGCAGTGGTGGTGGTATTGGAAGAGTAAAAAAGATGATTCCTCAGGTAGGAGAATCACTGTGAGAATTTGAAAATTGACAAGAAAATGATGGAGTGAATGATGGTGAAAGTGATTCTTCTTCGGGTCACCCCACCTCAGTGGCGGATGGCCAGTGTTAAACAAAATAATTATACTTCAATATTACAAATAAATTGAAGTACAGTGGACCTCCATCTTACAATATTAATCCGTTCCTGAGAGCTCATCGTATGCCGAAATTATCGTAAGGCGAATTAATTTTCCCCATAAGAAATAGTGGAAATCAAATTAATCCGTTCCTGACACCCCAAAGTATGAAAAAAAAATTTTTTTACCACATGAAATATTAATTTTAATACACACAAACTGAAGAAGACATGCATAGTTAATACTCTACTAAGAATAGAATATATGACACTTACCTTTATTGAAGATCTGGTGATGATTGATGGGATGGGAGGAGGAGAGTGTGTGGAAGTTATTGTTTACAAGGGAAATCCCCTTCCATTAGGCCTTGAGGTAGCAAGTCTTTTTCCGGGGTTACTTCCCTTCTTCTTTTAATGCCACTAAGACCAGCTTGAGAGTCACTGGACCTCTGTCGCACAACAAATCTGTCCATAGAGCTCTGTACCTCCCCTTCCCTTAAGATTTTCCTAAAATGAGCCATAACATTGTCATCGTACAAGTTGCCAACACGGCTTGCAGTAGCTGTGTCAGGGTGATTTTCATCCACAAAGGTTTGCAGTTCAACCCACTTTGCACACATTTCCTTAATCTCTTTTTTCAATTCCATACTAATTCTCGCCCTTTTTACCACAGGGATGGCACTAGAAGCTTTCTTGGGGTCCATGGTGACTTATTTTGCAGTTACAAGCACTAAAAACACTGGAGTAATGTGAAATGTACCAAATGTATGAGCAGATGCGACCGCACTGGCTGGCTTGTAAACATTGGTGCTGAGGCCACATGTGGGACGCGTCCCGGACGAATCATGTAAGGCAAGTTTTTTATCTTAGACGAGGCAAAATTTTTGCGTTAAAATGTATCATATGGCAGATTTAACGTAGCGCGATGCCATCACACGGCAGGGGTCCACTGTAATTACTCTTTGAAGGCACTTTTCATTATTCACAATGACTATTACATTCAAAATATTATGCTCTTAGTTACCAAATTGCCATGCAGGGTGCAGAGAACCCTCTAAATGGTTTAACCTCTAACCTTGATCTGTAATCTTTACTTATACATCCATAACTTAAATTATTTATGACAAAAATGAACAAGCATAATGTATTCTACATTTTTTTTTTTTTTACATAGCCATCTTCTGTCAAGGCAAGGTGACCTAAAGAAGAAACACTCTCACTGGCATTCACTTAATCCCCAAAAGTGTGATGATGTCCTAAATCAGATTACTTCAATGGCTGCAATATTCCCACAACTCCTGCAGAGTGCAGGAACTGCCCATCCCACCTCCATGACTCAAGTCCAGCTAACAAGTTCCCCTGAATCCCTACATCAAAGTTACCATGCTCACACTCCAACAATATATCCATTAAAATCCACTTATCTCCATTCACCCCTAACATGCTCACACAAACTTGCTGGATGCTCAAGCTACTGAAACCTAAAACTCAAAACCTCTTGTACCCCCTCCAACCATTCCTAGAGTAACCCTCATGCTCTTAATATAACAAAGGATTTTTTCTAATAAAATGACCACTGTGGTATAAAACTCTGCATATGACATCCTGTGAAAATCTATTTATTTAGTTTAGGAAAAATATCTAAGTAATGAGGGCAAAAGAAATGGTCATATATACAGCCGGAGGGAGTAGGCAGACAAACTTACCTCACCAGCACCCTGGAACAGGAATTTGTGGGTTGATAACTTTGTTTTAGTAATTCGAAGGGATGACAACAAGCCGGCCACTGCAACAGATGCTGTCCCTTGAATGTCATCATTAAAGGTGCAGTACTTGCCACGATATCTAGAAATAATAATAATAATGGAATGTAGAGGTTGGTAAAGGAAGAAAAATAAAGTAGCTAAAATGATGATGATGACATATCAACAAACAATGACTGAGAAATAAAGCCTTATACACCTACCATTCGACTTGCGACCTGCTCGACATACGTCCACTCGACTTACGACCGTACATCTGGCACCTGGGCTGGGCCGGCTGATACATACCACTGTACAATATTTGATGATACTCGCGGCGGTAATGCGCCATGCAGGCAGCATCAGTTTGAGTTACCCTGCCCTATCAGCAGCATCATACGTACTGTATTAACTGTACAAACTGGACAGTAAATTTCGCCATGGTCCCTAAGAGGAAGTCTGAATTTTGCACTGGAGATTGTGGCAAGAAGGCAAGAAAGGCTCTTACTCTCGAACTCTCTCTATTTGTTTTCACAGCTGCACATAAATCTGTCTGTATCTGTCTGCCTGTATATCTATCTGTCTGTATCTGTCTCTGTCTGTCTGTTTACCTGTCTTTGTCTTCCTGTGTGTGTGTGTCTGTCTACCTGTGTGTGTGTCTGTCTACCTGTGTGTCTGTCTTTCTGTCTGCTTGTCTCTGTCTCAGAGCTGCTCATGAACCAACAGGTCTTACACACGAAGCAGAGTTGTCACATCTTCAATATGATGCTAATATCGCTATACAGCTTATTTATCTGTCACAATTTATCTAATATGACATAATATTACATAGTGTTAATGTTGCAGTTTAAAAACTGTAGTGTAAAGCACCCTTCTGGCAAGACAGTGATGGAGTGAATGATGGTGAAAGTTTTTCTTTTTCGAGCCACCCTGCCTTGGTGGGAATCGGTCAGTGTGATAATAATAAAAAAAAAAAAATCTGATAAACACTCTAGAATAAATATGAACTTAACTACTTTAAACCCCACATCTTGTACCTGTGCTGGTGTGCAGGTACACATTAAAATCATTAAGAGTGTGCTATTGGTAGATAGCAACCACCCAGGGAGGTACTACCGTTCTGCCAAGCGAGTGTAAAACGAAAGCCTGTAATTGTTTTACATGATGGTAGGATTGCTGATGTCTTTTGTCTGTCTCATAAACATGCAAGATTACAGCAGATATGTCTTGCTACTTCTACTTACACTTAGGTTACACTAAACATACATGTACGCATTTATTTATACACACTCATCTGAGTTTTCTTTGATTTTATCTTAGTTCTTGTTCTAATTACTTTTCCTTTTATATCCATGGGGAAGTGGAATAAGAATTTTTCCTCCGTAAGCCATGCGTGTTGTAAAAGTCAACTAAAATGCCGGGAACAATGGGCTAGTAACCCCTTTTCCTGTAAAAATTACTAAAAAGAATAAGAAGAAGAAAGTTGTCAAAGTGGGAAGTTTGAATGTGCGTGGATGTTGTGCGAATGATAAGAAAGAGATGATTGTGGATGTTATTAATGAGAAGAAGCTGGATATCCTGGCTTTAAGTGAAACAAAGCTGAAGGGGATGGGTGAATTTCAGTGTAGAGGAATAAATGGGATTAGGTCAGGGGTTTCTAATAGAGTTAGAGCTAAAGAAGGAGTAGCAATAATGTTGAAGGATAAGCTATGGCAGGAAAAGAGGCACTATAAATGTATTAATTCAAGGATTATGTTGAGTAAAATAAAGGTTGGATGTGAAAATTGGGTTATAGTAAGTGTTTATGCACCTGGGGAAGAGAGAAGTATAGAGGAGAGAGAGAGATTTTGGGAAATGTTGAGTAATTGCATGGGGAGTTTTGAACCAAGTGTGAGAGTACTTGTGGTTGGGGATTTTAATGCTAAAGTAGGAAAACATGTTGTGGAGGGAGCAGTAGGTAAATTTGAGGTGCCAGGGGTAAATGAAAATGGAGAGCCTTTAATTGAGCTATGTGTAGAAAGAGGTTTGGTAATAAGTAATACATATTTTATGAAAAAGAGGATAAATAAATACAGTGGACCCCCGCATAACGATCACCTCCGAATGCGACCAATTATGTAAGTGTATTTATGTAAGTGCGTTTGTACGTGTATGTTTGGGGGTCTGAAATGGACTAATCTACTTCACAATATTCCTTATGGGAACAAATTCGGTCAGTACTGGCACCTGAACATACTTCTGGAGTGAAAAAATATCGTTAACCGGGGGTCCACTGTATACAAGGTATGATGTATGATGTTAGTTTGTTAGATTATGTATTGGTGAATAAAAGGTTGATGAGTAGGCTCCAGGATGTACATGTTTATAGAGGGGCAACTGATATAACGGATCATTATCTAGTTGTAGGTACAGTTAGAGTAAGAGGTAGATGGGATAAGAGGAAAATGGCAACAACAAGTAAGAGGGAGGTGAAAGTGTATAAACTAAGGGAGGAGGAAGTTTGGGTGAAATATAAGCAACTATTGGCAGAAAGGTGGGCTGGTGCAGGTATGAGTAGTGGAGAGGGGGTTGAAGAGGGTTGAATAGCTTTAAAAATGCAGCACAGTATTAGAATGTGGGGCAGAAGTTTGTGGTTATAGAAGGGAAGGTGCAGGAGGAAAGAGGAGTGATTGGTGGAATGATGAAGTAAAGGGTGTGATAAAAGAGAAAAAGTTAGCTTACGAGAGGTATTTACAAAGCAGAAGTGTTATAAGAAGAGTAGAGTATATGGAGTGTAAAAGAAAGGTGAAGAGTGTGGTGAGTGAGTGAGTGCAAAAGGAGAGTGGATGATAGAGTGGGAGAGGCAATGTCAAGAAATTTTAATGAAAATAAGAAAAAATTTGGGAGTTAAACAAGTTAAGAAAGCCTAGGGAACAAATAGATTTATCAGTTAAAAACAGAGAAGGGGAGTTAGTAGATGGGGAGATGGAGGTTTTGGGTAGATGGTGAGAATATTTTGAGGAACTTTTAAATGTCAACGAGAAAGGGAGGCGGTAATTTCATGCACTGGCCAGGGAGGTATATCATCTTTTAGGAGTGAAGAAGAGCAGGATGTGAGTGTGGGAGAGGTGCGTGAGGCATTACATAGAATGAAAGGGGGTAAAGCAGCTGGAACTGACGGGATCATGACAGAAATGTTAAAAGCAGGGGGGAGGGACATAGTGTTGGAGTGGTTGGTATTTTTGTTTAATAAATGTATGAAAGAGGGGAAGGTACCTAGGGATTGGCGGAGAGCGTGTATAGTCCCTTTATATAAAGGGAAGGGGGACAAAAGAGATTGTAAAAATTATAGAGGAATAAGTGTACTGAGAATACCAGGAAAAGTGTACAGTAGGGTTATTATTGAAAGAATTAGATGCAAGACAGAATGTAGAATTGCGGATGAGCCAGCAGGATTTAGAGTGAGTAGGGGATGTGTAGATCAAGTGTTTACATTGAAGCATATATGTGAGTAGTATTTAGATAAAGGTAGGGAAGTTTTTATTGCATTTATGGATTTAGAAAAGGCATATGATAGAGTGGATAGGGGAGCAATGTGGCAGATGTTGCAATTGTATGGAATAGGTGGTAAGTTACTAAATGCTGTAAAGAGTTTTTATGAGGATAGTGAGGCTCAGGTTAGGGTGTGTAGAAGAGAGGGAGACTACTTCCCAGTAAAAGTAGGTCTTAGACAGGGATGTGTAATGTCACCATGGTGGTTTAATATATTTATAGATGGAGTTGTAAAAGAAGTAAATGCTAGGGTGTTCGGGAGAGGAGTGGGATTAAATTATGGGGAATTAAATACAAAATGGGAAGTGACACAGTTACTTTTTGCTGATGATACGGTGCTTATGGGAGATTCTAAAGAAAAATTGCAAAGGTTAGTGGACGAATTTGGGAATGTGTGTAAAGGTAGAAAGTTGAAAGTGAACATAGAAAAGAGTAAGGTGATGAGAGTATCAAATGATTTAGATAAAGAAAAATTGGATATCAAATTGGGGAGGAGGAGTATGGAAGAAGTGAATGTTTTCAGATATTTGGGAGTTGACGTGTCAGCGGATGGATTTATGAAGGATGAGGTTAATCATAGAATTGATGAAGGAAAAAAGGTGAGTGGTGCATTGAGGTATATGTGGAGGCAAAAAATGTTATCTATGGAGGCAAAGAAGGGAATGTATGAAAGTATAGTGGTACCAACACTCTCATATGGGTGTGAAGCTTAGGTTGTAAATGCTGCAGTGAGGAGGTGGTTGGAGGCAGTGGAGATGTCCTGTCTAAGGGCAATGTGTGGTGTAAATATTATGCAGAAAATTTGGAGTGTGGAAATTAGGAGAAGGTGTGGAGTTAATAAAAGTATTAGTCAGAAGGCTGATGAGGGGTTGTTGAGGCGGTTTGGTCATTTAGAGAGAATGGATCAAAGTAGAATGACATGGAGAGCGTATAAATCTGTAGGGAAAGGAAGGCAGGGTAAGGGTCGTCCTAGAAAAGGTTGGAGGAAGGGGGTAAAGGAGGTTTTGTGGGCAAGGGGCTTGGACCTCTAGCAAGCATATATGACCATGTTAGATAGGAGTGAATGGAGATAAACGGTTCTTGGGACCTGACGAGCTGTTGGAGTGTGAGCAGGGTAATATTTAGTGAAGGGATTCAGGGAAACCGGTTATTTTTATATAGCCGGACTTGAGTACTGGAAGTGGGAAGTACAATGCCTGAACATGAAAGTATTTTCTTTTTGGGGATTTTCCTTCTTTTTGGGTCACTCTGCCTTGGTGGGAGACAGCCAACTTGAAGAAGAAAAAAAAAATTGTGAACGCGTATTAGACCGACCTGTTGGATGTGTATTGGACAAATAATGTAATTTCCGCTACTTTGAGCTCAATTTCAATATACTTTCAGTCCTGAAACCAATGAAAATCATCTCTATTTCTGTAATATTTCTTCCATTCTATCAAATGAGACCAAGAAACAGTGAATACAACCATAAAAACTATAAGAAAATACACCACAAATTCGCCATTTTAAACAAAACAAAACAAAAAGTCAGTTTTTTTCTCTTATTATGCACTGCATGCTGCAGGATGTTTTTTTATATGGTGCACAAGTACCACATAGACCCATTCACTCATATCTAGTCCAAATTTACTACTCACAGCTTATCTGAAAGAGCTGAGCTCATCATGTAGTACTACAGCACCAAGCCAGAGTTTAACCCATTAACTGTCCTAACATCGATCTATGTTGTCGCTGCTAGCGCTCCGATTTAAAAAAAAAAAAAAATTATCTTTACTTAGGGCATAGGTTATAGGACATTCTGGCAAGATGACTCTTGCAACGATATCAAAATTGAAAGGATGTAGCACAAATGTAGCATGTGGGTTATTTGAGGTTATTGATATTTCCTCAACCAGTTATGGCCACATCTATCTCAAAGCCACTAAACTCTGGGTCAACATCACTTTCCTCTTAAGGGGGGAGTATTAATATTACATGGCATCAGTGAATCCCTGGTGTCTGCCATGCTGTTTGCTCTAGCTGGTGCTCAATTGAACCGGTGCTCTCAGAAGGTATTAAGCAGTCTCAGATTTTTTTAACTGTGCACACTTTGTGTTAAGACCCATTCTATACTGACCAGGCATCTCAGGCCAATTGTGCCAAATTTAGAGGCAGGAAAAATAAAATGTTTGGAGAGCTAGCAGCAAGAACATAGATCTACGTTTGGACAGTTATGGTGTTAAAACCATAGTACTACGGCACCCACCACGAAAGGGTTAACAGAGAACATTTTGCTTGGACACCAAACCTGGCTGACCAGGCAAACACCAGATGAACCTGGCCCATGGCCAGGCTCAGGAATAGAAAAGCTCTAGAACTCATCAGAGGTACATCCAAAGTACAGCAGAGCACCAATTCATAGTGATCCAACTTACAAATTGCATACAGAAGTCAGAAATAACAAAAAAAGGCACAATACCGTGACTGGAACGATACACAAATAACCCGCACATAGAAGAGAGAAGCTTACGACAACGTTTCGGTTCGACTTGGACTATTTACAAAGTCACGAAGTCTGAAATACAAACACGTGCGACACGATCTTTTTCTTTTACTACCATTTTCTAAAAAATAGTTTCTGGGCAACATATGACTCGATATGAATTGAAACACCCAGAACACATCTTATTCGTTAATTGGGATGCTTCTATACTTAGGAAAGAATGAAATACGTAGGGCAGTAGCACTGTGGGTAAACCGAGAGGGTGAGGGGAGGCAGTTGGGTGAGCAGAAGATGGACAAATCTCAGCAAGTCTACAGCTACCAACATTGTGGGAGATGGCATTTATAGTACTTATTAAAGCCGATTCTTAGCACTGCCATTTGTCTCCCTTTTGAAATTACTAGCGTAACCTTGGCCAATTTCATAAAGTGAAGGTGTGTAATGCACATGGACACATTCAGTAAATCATTAGTAGTAGTAGTAGTGTACTAGTAATGACAAATATAATTAACACCATGGAACCTTTATCTTAAGTCATTCATTGTTTATCTTGAAATCTGCCTATGTTAATCAAATGATGGAAAATAACAATGAAAACTGACCTCAATATATTGGTATAACACCAAACAAATATTTAAAATGTTAAAAAAACAATTATCAAATAAAAAAATCACTTACTTTTCAAGGAAGCGGAATGCATTGTGGTTACCAAAGTCTTCAAACTGGATAAGGGTGTTCTGACCATAGCGTTGTACTACCGCTTGCATGAATTCGTCAATGAATTCATCATAGGCAGCACCAGTCACTCGTTCATGACGATTACCAATGTAGAACTCATCCTCAAGCAATTCCTGGCAAGGATTTTTCACACTAAACATTCCACTACTAGAAAAATCCATAAATGTGTTTTTGAAATTTGCACAGAAAAAATATAACAAAATGTAACAAATGAAAATATGTAACAATGTTATTAACCAATCGCTTTGCCTGTTTGGATATGACACCAGGGAACAGATTGCAGAAAAAAAAGTAAAAAATTGGTGGCAAATCTTATTCATTTTAACTGGCACATACAGTGTGTTTTCAGCATGATACTATTCATATGATATTCACCTAATGTACCACTTGTTCTCATACTGACAGTTAAGCATGAGTAATGATGTTCACATACAGGAAGGCCCCGCTTTACGGCGTTTCACTTTACGGCGTTCCGCTAATACGGACATTTCAAATTATGACCAAAACTCACTATACGGCTCCCCCCACCTGACTTTCTAATACGGTCACCGTGCCCCACCCTGTTTGTTTACATTCTCCATGAGCTCAGTAAGCACTAAGTCTCTCCATTTTGTCTGGAAACTCCAAAATTTCAAATGTTTTTAAAAGTTATTTCATATTTTATATATACTCTGATAATTATACTTATGTATACCTGTACCCTAAATAACTACATACATCGAGCCCATTTAAATGTCGTATATTACGTTAATATACACATTTTTCATTAATCCATCCATGATTTTTTTTTCAAATTTATATAATAAACACGATGCAAAAACATATAAATAAGTTTAAATACACCCCACAGTAGAATAAATAAACATAAATGTGAGATGTGAGCAGACGACTTCCCACAAGTGACGCCATAATAACAATACTCACCGAGTCTCATTAAATGTCGTATATTACGGTAATATACACATTTTCATTAATCCATCCTGATATTTTTTTCAAAATTATATAATAAACACGATGCATAACAAAAATAAATAAGATAAATACACCCCACGTGAATAAATAAACATAATTGTGAGATGTGAGCAACGACTTCCACAAGTGACCCCCTATAACAATATTTCACCGGTCTCATTAAATGACGTATATTGCGGTAATATACACATTTTCATAACCATCCAGATATTTTTTTTCAAATTATATAATAAACACGATGCATACTATAAATAAGATAAATACACCCACAGTAGAATTAAATAAACAAATGTGAGATGTGAGAAACACTTGCCAAGTGGTGATAATAAAAATTTACTCGCCGAGTCTCATTAAATGTCGTATATTACGTAATATACACATTTTCATTAATCCATCCATGATATTTTTTTCAAAATTATAATAATAAACACGATGCATAACATATAAATAAGATAAATACACCCCACAGTAGAATAAATAAACATAAATGTGAGATGGGGTACAGACGACTTCCCACAAGTGGTTGATAATAACAATACTCACCGAGTCCTTTCATTAAATGTCGTATATTGCGGTAATATACACATTTTCATTAATCCACCCATGATATTTTTTTTCAAAATTATTTTAATAAACACCGATACATAACATAAAAGATGATAAATACACCCCACAATAGAATAAATAAACATAAATATAAGTTTGTGGGAGCCTGGTTTTGTTTACAAAAACTCTGCGCCTGTCACCTCTCTGTACTCATTCTTTCTCTCTCTCATTTATTCGTTTTTTTCTCATTTACTTACTCCTGACCCTACATTAAGACTACAAATATTTTAAGGTAAGAAATGAGTGAACTGTATATACATTTTATAGCTCTGGGATGCTTAAATATCATAGAATAGTATGTGTTGGGGGGGGTGGCCTGGTGAGGTAAACCTGGCTATTACAATACATACCACACTTGATTTCTTACAATAAATACTACTTGTCTCACCCTAGATTAAAAACTATAAATATTTTAAGGTAAGTAATGAGTTTCACTATGTGTTTTATTGTACCTTTTTATTGTTTTTTTTATGCCTGGGTTTTATTGCAAAATTAATATATTTAGTGTAAACTTGTTATCTAGTGTTTGTATGCATTTATAAGTGGAAAAAAAGGGTGTTCCACTTTACGGCGATTTCCGCTTTACGGCGGTAGCCTGGAACCTAACCTGCCGTATAAGTGGGGCCCTCCTGTACTATAAATTTTTTTTTTTTTAACAAGTCGGCCGTCTCCCACCGAGCCAGGGTGACCCAAAAAGAAAGAAAATACTTTCATCATCATTCAACACTTTCACCTCATTCATACACAATCACTGTTTTTGCAGAGGCAATCAGAACACAACAGCTTAGAAGCATATACGTATAAAGATACACAACAAATCCCTCCAAATTGCCAATATCCAGTTTCCCTGAATCCCTTCACTTAACATTACCCTGCTCACACTCCAACAGCTTGTCAGGTCCCAAATACCATTCGTCTCCATTCACTCCAACACGCTCATGCATGCTTGCTGGAAGTCCAAGCCCCTCACCCACAAAACCTCCTTTACCCCCTCCCTCCAACCTTTTTGAGGATGACCCCTACCCCACCTTCCTTCCCCTACAGATTTATACGCTCTCCATGTCATTCTACTTTGATCCATTCTCTCTAAATATCCAAACCACCTCAACAACCCCTGATACTTTTATTAACTCCATACTTCCTCCTAATATCCACACTCCTAATTTTCTGCATAATATTTACACCACACATTGCCCTTAGACAGGACATCTCCACTGCCTCCAACCACCTCCTTGCTGCAGCATTTACAACCCAAGCTTCACACCCATATAAGAATGTTGGTACTACTATACTTTCATACATTCCCTTCTTTGCCTCCATAGATAATGTTTTTTGTCTCCACATATACTTCAACGCACCACTCACCCCTTTTTTTTCATCAATTCTATGATTAACCTCATCCTTCATAAATCCATCTGCTGACACGTTAACTCCCAAATATTTGAAAACCATTCACTTCTTCCATACTACTACTCTCCAATTTGATATCCAATTTTTCTTTATCTAAATCATTTGATACCCTTATCACCTTACTCTTTACTATGTTCACTTTCAACTTTCTACCTTTACATACTCTCCCAAACTCATCCACTAATGTTAGCAATTTTTCTTTAGAATCTCCCATAAGCACAGTATCATCAGCAAAAAGTAACTGTGTCAATTCCCATTTTGTATTTGATTCCCCATAATTTAATCCCACCCCTCTCCCAAACACCCTAGCATTTACTTCTTTTACAACCCCATCTATAAATATATTAAACAACCATGTTGGCATTACACATCCCTGTCCAAGACCTACTTTTACTGGGAAGTAGTCTCCCTCTCTTCTGCATACCCTAACCTGAGCCTCATTATCCTCATAAAAACTCTTTATAGCATTTAGTAACTTACCACCTATTCCATATACTTGCAACATCTGCCACATTGCTCCCCTATCCACTCTATTACATGCCTTTTCTAAATCCATAAATGAAATGAAAACTTCTCTACCTTTATCTAAATACTGTTGGAATAGTTTTAAAAATGCAGTATTAGAATGTGGGGCAGAAGTTTGTGGTTATAGGAGGGTGGGGGTAGGAGGAAAGAGGAGTGATTGGTGGAATGATGAAGTAAAGGGTGTGATAAAAGAGAAAAAGGTAGCTTACGAGAGGTTTTTACAAAGCAGAAGTGTTATAAGAAGAGCAGAGTATATGGAGAGTAAAAGAAAGGTGAAGAGAGTGGTGAGAGAGTGCAAAAGGAGAGCAGATGAAAGAGTGGGAGAGGCACTGTCAAGAAATTTTAATGAAAATAAGAAAAAATTTTGGAGTGAGTTAAACAAGTTAAGAAAGCCTTGGAAAGTATGGATTTGTCAGTTAAAAACAGAGTAGGGGAGTTAGTAATGGGGAGAGGGAGGTATTAGGTAGATGGCGAGAATATTTTGAGGAACTTTTAAATGTTAAGGAAGAAAGGGAGGCGGTAATTTCATGCACTGGCCAGGGAGGTATACCATCTTTTAGGAGTGAAGAAGAGCAGAATGTAAGTGTGGTGGAGGTACGTGAGGCATTACGTAGAATGAAAGGGGGTAAAGCAGCTGGAACTGATGGGATCATGACAGAAATGTTAAAAGCAGGGGGGATATAGTGTTGGAGTGGTTGGTAATTTTGTTTAATAAATGTATGAAAGAGGGGAAGGTACCTAGGGATTGGCGGAGAGCATGTATAGTTCCCTTTATATAAAGGGAAAGGGGCACAAAGAGATTGTAAAAATTATAGAGGAATAAGTTTACTGAGTATACCAGGAAAAGTATACGGTAGGGTTATAATTTGAAAGAATTAGAGGTAAGACAGAATGTAGAATTGCGGACGAGCAAGGAGGCTTCAGAGTGGGTAGGGGATGTGTAGATCAAGTGTTTACATTGAAACATATATGTGAACAGTATTTAGATAAAGGTAGGGAAGTTTTTATTGCATTTATGGATTTAGAAAAGGCATATGATAGAGTGGATAGAGGAGCAATGTGGCAGATGTTGCAAGTATATGGAATAGGTGGTAAGTTACTAAATGCTGTAAAGAGCTTTTATGAGGATAGTGAGGCTCAGGTTAGGGTGTGTAGAAGAGAGGGAGAATACTTCCCGGTAAAAGTAGGTCTTAGACAGGGATGTGTAATGTCACCATGGTTGTTTAATATATTTATAGATGGGGTTGTAAAAGAAGTAAATGCTAGGGTGTTCGGGAGAGGGGTGGGATTAAATTATGGGAATCAAATTCAAAATGGGAATTGACACAGTTACTTTTTGCTGATGATACTGTGCTTATGGGAGATTCTAAAGAAAAATTACAAAGGTTAGTGGATGAGTTTGAGAATGTGTGTAAAGGTAGAAAGTTGAAAGTCAACATAGAAAAGAGTAAGGTGATGAGGGTATCAAATGATTTAGATAAAGAAAATTGGATATCAAATTGGGAGGAGTAGTATGGAAGAAGTGAATGTTTTCAGATACTTGGGAGTTGACGTGTCGGCGGATGGATTTATGAAGGATGAGGTTAATCATAGAATTGATGAGGGAAAAAAGGTGAGTGGTGCGTTGAGGTATATGTGGAGTCAAAAAACGTTATCTATGGAGGCAAAGAAGGAATGTATGAAAGTATAGTCGTACCAACACTCTTATATGGATGTGAAGCTTGGGTGGTAAATGCAGCAGCGAGGGAGACGGTTGGAGGCAGTGGAGATGTCCTGTCTAAGGGCAATGTGTGGTGTAAATATTATGCAGAAAATTCGGAGTGTGGAAATTAGGAGAAGGTGTGGAGTTAATAAAAGCATTAGTCAGAGGGCAGAAGAGGGGTTGTTGAGGTGGTTTGGTCATTTAGAGAGAATGGATCAAAGTAGAATGACATGGAAAGCATATAAATCTATAGGGGAAGGAAAGAGGGGTAGGGTCATCCTCGAAAGGGTTGGAAAGAGGGGTAAAGGAGGTTTTGTGGGTTAGGGGCTTGGACTTCCAGCAAGCATGCATGAGCGTGTTAGATAGGAGTGAATGGAGACGAATGATACTTGGGACCTGACGATCTGTTGGTGTGAGCAGGGTAATATTTAGTGAAGGGATTCAGGGAAACCGGTTATTTTCATATAGTCGGACTTGAGTCCTGGAAATGGGAAATACAATGCCTGCACTTTAAAGGAGGGGTTTGGGATATTGGCAGTTTGGAGGGATATGTTGTGTATCTCTATACGTATATGCTTCTAAACTGTTGTATTCTGAGCACCTCTGCAAAAGCAGTGATAATGTGTGAGTGTGGTGAAAGTGTTGAATGATGATGAAAGTATTTTCTTTTTGGGGATTTTCTTTCTTTTTTTTGGGTCACCCTGCCTCGGTGGGAGACGGCCGACTTGTTGAAAAAAAAAAAAAAAAATATGTGTTTCAATGTAAACACTTGATCTACACATACCCTACCCACTCTAAAACCTCCCTGCTCATCCGCAATTCTACATTCTGTCTTACATCTAATTCTTTCAATAATAACCCTGCCGTACTCTTTTCCTGGTGGTATACTCAATAAACCAATTCCTCTAATTTTTACAATCTCTTTTGTCCCCCGAGGTACCTTCGTAATGCCTCACGCACCTCCCCCACACTCACATCCTGCTCTTCTTCACTCCTACAAGATGGTATACCTCCCTGGCCAATGAATGAAATTACTGCCTCCCTTTCTTAGTCGACATTTAAAAGTTCCTCAAAATATTCACGCCATCTACCCAATACCTCCATCTACCCATCTATTAACTCCCTACCCTGATTTAACTAACAAATCCATTTGTTCCCTAGGTTTTCTTAACTTGTTTAACTCGCTCCAAAATTTTTTCTTATTTTCATCAAAATTTCTTGACAGTGCCTCTCCCACTTTATCATCTGCTCTCCTTTTGCACTCTCTTCACCTCTCTTTTACTCTCCATATACTCTGCTCTTCTTATACCACTTCTGCTTCAAAAGCTACCTTTTTCTCTTTTATCACACCCTTTACTTCATCATTCCACCAATCACTCCTCTTTCCTCCTGCACTCACCCTCCTACAACCACAAACTTCTGCCCCACATTCTAATACTGCATTTTTAAAACTATTCCATCCCTCTTCAACCTCCCCACTACTCATACTTGCACTAACCCACCTTTCTGCCAATAGTTGCTTATATCTCACCCGAACTTCCTCCTCCCTTAGTTTATACATTTTCACTCTCTCTCTTGTTGATGCCATTTTTCTCTTGTCCAATCTACCTCCTACTCTAACTGTATCTACAACTAAATAATGATTCGATATATCAGCTGTCCCTCTATAAACATGTACATCCTGGAGCCTACCCATCAACCTTTTATCCACCAATACATAATCTAACAAACTACTTTTATTACGTGCTATATTCTACCTTGTATATTTATTTATCCTCTTTTTCATAAAATATGTATTACTTATTACCAAACCTCTTTCTACACACAGCTCAATTAAAGGCTCCCCATTTTCATTTACCCCTGGCACCCCAAATTTACCTACTACTCCCTCCACAACATTTTTATCCACTTTAGCATTTTAGTCCCCAACCACAAGTACTCTCCCACTTGTTTCAAAACTCCCCACACATTCACTCAACATTCCCCAAAATCTCTCTTCTCTACACTTCTCTCTTCTCCAGGTGCATATATGCTTACTATAACCCACTTTTCACATCCAACCTTTATTTCATTCCACATAATCCTTGAATTAATATATTTATACTCCCTCTTTTCCTGCCATAGCTTATCCTTCAACATTATTGCTACTCCTTTAGCTTAAACTCTATTTGAAACCCCTGACCTAATCCCATTTATTTCTCTCCACTGAAACTCTCCCACCCCCATAGCTTTGTTTCACTTAAAGCCAGGACATCCAGCTTCTCATTCATTACATCCACAATCATCTCTTTCTTATCATTTGCACAACATCCACACACATTCAGACTTCCCACTTTGACTATTTATTTCTTTTTCTTTTTAGTTATCTGTACAGGAAAAGGGGTTACTAGCCCATTGTTCCCGGCATTTTAGTTGACTTTTACAACACACATTGCTTATGGAGGAAAGCTTCTTATTCCACTTCCCCATGGATATAAAAGGAAAAGTAATAAGAACAAGAACTTCTTTCTTCTTTCAACACACCGGCCGTATCCTACCGAGGCGGGGTGGCCCAAAAGCAAAAATGAAAAGTTTCTCCTTTTACATTTAGTAATATATATACAGGAGAAGGGGTTACTATCCCCTTGCTCCCGGCATTTTAGTCTCCTCTTACAACATGCATGGCTTACGGAGGAAGAATTCTGTTCCACTTCCTCATGGAGGTAAGAGGAAATATACAAGAACAAGTACTATAAAGAAAATAGAAGAAAACCCAGATGGGTGTGTATATATATGCTTGTACATGTATGTGTAGTGTGACCTAAGTGTAAGTTGAAGTAGCAAGATGTACCTGAAATCTTGCATGTGTATGAGACAGAAAAAAGAGACACCAGCAATCCTAGCATCGTGTAAAAAATTACAGGCTTCCGTTTTACACTCGCTTGGCAGGACGGTAGTACCTCCCTGGGTGGTTGCTGTCTACCAACCTACTACCTATAATAAAATATAAAATATAAATATAATAAAATATAAAATATAAATATAATAAAATATAAATATAAATATATGTTGTGTATTTTTATACATATATGCTTCTAAACTGTTGTATTCTGAGCACCTCTGCAAAAGCAGTGATAATGTGCGAGTGTGGTGAAAGTGTTGAATGATGATGAAAGTATTTTCTTTTTGGGGATTTTCTTTGTTTTTTTTGGGTCACCCTGCCTCGGTGGGAGACGGCCGACTTGTTAAAAAAAAAAAATAATAAAATAATAAAATAAAATATAAAATAATAAAATATTTTTATTAAAATTTCAATTCTGATCTATCCCTAAGAGCATTATATCATGGTCGGTATGTTACTTAAATGGCTAAATTCCTGTACAGATCACAATCCTGAAGTGAAAATACGTAGTAGTAAAGTTGTATTAACTAAAAGTTTTTTTAACGATTTTTCTTACCTTTCGGTTAGTGCCAACATCTAGCACAATGGGCAGACACTGGTGTGGCTTGATACCAGCAAGTGCAGTATATAAGGATAACTTTCCTACTGGAATACCCATTCCTTGTACACCTAGATCTCCAAGACCAAGAATACGCTCACCATCAGTTACGACAATGGCTCTCACATCACTCTCAGGCCTAATGAAGTGATCCCAATTAGTACACAAGGCAAAGTATTATACAGCAAATGGCATGTTCAGGCATCTGCAGATAAAAAGAAGTTAATCTGTGAAGGAAAAAACTATTATGTAATAGTATAGTATCAGCAATACTTGTATGAATGTGAGACAAGGGCTTTCAATGGTGCAACAAAGAGGGCACTAAAGGCAGTGATGTCATGTTTGAGAACACTGAGTGGCATGAAGATTATGCAAAGAATTTGGAGTGTATAAAGCAGAAGACAGTGATATATTATCAAAAATCATAATTCAGAGGACTAGGGATTATTGAAGTGGTGGTTTAGGCATTTAGAGGATGGAGCAGAATAGGATGACCAAGAGGGTATTAACCTAGGGTGGAAAGGAGAGGTAGGGATTACTGCAGGAAGGGATGGAGGGGTAGTAAGGGACAAAGGTTTTGGGTGCTAGGGGCTTCAGCATCCAGCAGGCTTGTGTGATAGTGTCAGAAAGCTATTGAATAAATGATGGTGAATGTGCCTCTTCTTTTAGGGTCACTACCTTGATGGGAGAAAACCAGTGTGTTAAAAAGACAGATACTACTATGATTGTCATTAAAGTTATGGGTTAGCACCAGAACTACTGCATTTTTATTTTGACAAGCGTGCATGAGCGTATTTGATAGGAGTGAATGGAGACAAATGGCTTTTAATACTTGACATGCTGTTGGAGTGTGAGCAAAGTAACATTTATGAAGGGATTCAGGGAAACCAGCAGGCTTGAGTCCTGGAGATGGGAAGTACAGTGTCTACACTCTGAAGGAGGGATGTTAATGCTGCAGCTTTATAACTGTAGTGTAAAGCACCCCTCTGGCAAGATAGTGATGGAGTGAATGATGATGAAAGTTTTTCTTTTTCGGGCCACCCTGCCTTAGTGGGAATCGGCCAATGTGTTAATAAAATAAAAAAAAAATAATTTAAATCAGGCTTTGAGTGTTTTAAAAACCATATTCTCAAAGCACAATATAATAACTTCATCACAAGAAATAATTTTTATTATAATTATTGCATATGCCAACTTTTAATATAGAAATTTGACCAAAAATTTAATGATTTACATACTAAAGAAAGATGTATACAGTGCAAAAGTTACTAATAAGCAGATGCATTTAAAAACAACAATAAAAAAGTAATATCAGCACGCCTCTGGCAAGACAAAGATGGAGTGAGTGATGGTGAAAGTGTGTCTTCTTTTCAGGTCACCCTGCATTGGTGGGAAATATCCGGTGTTAAAAAAAAAAAATTAGAAAGACCAATATTTCCAAGGTCAAATTAGCAAGACAACTATGTGGATAATGGCAGAGCTGCCTCATCACACTGTACAACAACATTTAAGTTATGATAATAAACATGTACCATCACTGTCAGATTCACTAAATCAACTTACAACTATACTGATAAAAACATGAAAACAATTTTAGCACACCACATCATATATTCTTGAAAATAATATAGCTTTATAGAGTAAATTAAAGGCTTTATTCCCTCATGATCATACAGAACTCCCATATACAACTAATGTGAAAGAAAAAACAGTTATAACGATATTAGTCACACATTCTACTATGTGTGAAGAATGTTAAAGTATCAGTAAACACAAATATTTTAAAAATGTTTAGCCTGGTGGTGTCACCCACAGGCCTTGACTGCAATGTTGTTTGTGCCAGGATGTCTACAATGTGTATTTTGGACTACTATTAAATTAATACTTTTTTAATTTTGTGTAAAATTGGCCAAATTACCCACTTCTGTGCACTACATAGGGTAGTTGTCATATTTGAATACTTGTGCTCAATCAACAGAACGGAAGGCATACTAACAAAATAGCTAAGAAGCTAGTCAAATGGAGCAATGGAATTGGCTTAATAATCGAGGATCCATGCTGTAGTTCTATGGCTTTGAAGCCAAGGTCAGTGCCGTAGTTCTACACCATGAGCTCAGCTCACTCAGATAAGCTGTGAGTGGTAAATTTGGGCCTAGATATAAGAGAATGGATCTATGTGGTAAGTGTGCCCCATATAAAAAGAATCCTGCAGCACACAGTGCATAATGAGGAAAAAACTACGACCATGTTTTTGGATTAAATCAGCGACTTTGTGGTGTATTTTCGTATGTTTTTTATGGCTGTATTCATGGTTTCTTGGTCTCCTTTGATAGAATGGAAGATATAATACAGAGATAGAGATGATTTTGACTGTTTTTAGGAATGAAAATAATTTGAAATTGAGCTCCAAGTAGCAGAAATATTCAATTTTTGCAATGTTCAAGAGCAAACAAATCACATGTCCGATACACGTCTGCTGGTGGGTTTAATATGCATTCACAAAGGTGCTGATATTATTTATACAATTATTACAATACTGCATAATGGTGAAATTCTAGTTTTTGGTGTGAATAAAAAATCAAAATGGAATTCATGTGTAAAGCCTGGAAACATAACTAATAAACAGAGGAAATGTTATTTTAGTGCCAGTAGTGCCTGTATTTTTTATTCTGGACCCTATTTTGAAATTGGAATATTTTGAAATTTGTGTGAAATTAGTCAAATTACCAATTTCTGATTTCTTTACTGGGTAGTCGAAACAGTTGATTGGGCAGTTTCTTGTGCTCAATCAATAAAATAGAAGGCATACTAACAAAATAGCAGAGAATGTGGTCAACCAGAACAATGTAATTGGTCTAAAATAGAAGTCAAAGTGGGCAAAATTGCCGATGTGTAAATATCGCTGACACAGCAAAATTCGCAATAGCGCAATTTAGTCAGTTTTCCACCAAATTTTTTATTTTTTATTACTTTCAGAAAAAGATTCTCTACCATTTCATAAGAAAAAATAAAGTTTCCTGAAAATTCTTGGACCCTGTAGACAAGTTTCAAATTGGTGATCTCAACCCTGAAAGGGTGAAAAACAGGACTTAAAGTGGGTGAAATCACTGGTGTAAATTGTATGAGTGAAATTCTTTAAGTTTTCCATCAAATTTCATACCTTTGTGTTGTGATTGTGTGTTATACTTGTAGTGTGTTGTGATTGTGTATTGTGGTGGTGTGTTGTGCTTGTGTTGTGGGTGTGGTGTGTTGTGGTTGTGGTGTGTTGTGGTTGAGATGGTGTGCTGTGGGTGAGTTGTGGTTGTGGTGGTGGAGGGTTTACACATTTTAATTTATTCAAGGCCTGACTTCTACAAGAATCTTTTCCTCTAATTCATAATACTGATTAATCATGAGATCTATTTCAGTCTCATCTACACAGTTTACTAATAAATCTACTTCATATTTGTTGTAATATAATTTGTATGAATCATATCTATTCCCTAAAGCATCTAAATACAATTTTAAATCATCAGTATTCACAGTTTCTTGATTCATTAATTCCAAGCACTTATTATATGCCTTGGTTACATGAACTTTTCTAGCCTGTATTGATGCTTTCTTTACTCTATATTCCATTTGGTGTCATTACCTTCAGAAAAAGATACTCTAACATTTCATAAGATTTTTTTTTTTAATAGTGGACACAGCAATATTAATTTCATGGGTCTGGACAGTGAAATGACTAATACAGCCTCTCCTCACTTAATGATGGAGTTCCACTCCTAAGAGTAGCTCAGTAAGTGAATTGGTCGTTTAGCGAGGAGTATACTATATTGGTAGTGGGTTTGTGTCAACCATCTTTAGATTTTTTTTTAATGTCACCTTTGCACCATTTATAACATTTCTAGTATATTTTTAAATGTTTATACAGTAGTGTACTATATACTGAAATAAACAGAATAGAGGAAATCAGCTCTAATATACATTATTTAGGTTTGCATACTGGTTGGAGAGCTGATTGTAAGTCCGAGTGGTCGGTAAATAAGTGCATCGCTAAGTGAGGAGAGGCTGTACTCAACTCTGAGCCTTCATGAATTTTAATACATCTCATTCATCCTTGTACCAAGCATAAAATTTCTCTATGTATACTGTAGACACTGATTTATTAAACTTTTTTTTTTTTCAACAAGTCGGCCGTCTCCCACCAAGGCAGGGTGACCCAAAAAGAAAGAAAATCCCCAAAAAGAAGATACCTTCATCATCATTCAACACTTTCACCTCACTCAAACATAATCACTGTTTTTGCAGAGGTGCTCAGAACACAACTGTTTAGAAGCATATACGTATAAAGATACACAACATATCCCTCCAAACTGCTAATATCCCAAAACCCCTCCTTTAGAGTGCAGGCATTGTACTTCCCATTTCCAGGGCTCAAGTCCGGCTATATAAAAATAACTATCAGCTATATTTCAGAAAAGCAGGTGGATTCAAAGAACTCATCACCATTCAATCTCTAGCTCCATTCCAGAATAGCGACACTGCAGTTCAATATTGACATAATGAACCAGATACCACGGGGAAGTGGAGAATAATCTTTCCTCTGTAAGCCATGTGTCATAAGAACCAACTAAAATGGCAGGAACAAGGAGCTAGTAACCCCTTCTGTAGAAATTACTAAATGAGAAAAAAAAACTTTTGTTTTTTCTTTCTCAGGTCACTCTGCCTCGGTGGGAAACAGCTGATGTGTTAAGAGAAAAAATAAAGACTCAGATTCCTACTGCTTACTCTGAGTTCAGATCTTATATTTCCCAGCCTTCAAAACTTTAGTCAGGCAAACCAATTTGTGATAACCTGAAAGACCAAGCATAGAATACATATTATATTTGCACAAGAAACTTACCAGTTTTTCAGGATATCATAAACATGTCCCTTATCGTGAATTGAGATGAAAAGGCCACGAGGTCTACGAAAGATCAGGCCAAACTTCTGGCAGGCTAACCCAACAGTTGGGGTGTATACAATTGGCATATATTCCTCTACATTTTCACTTAGAAGTCTATAGAAAAGGCGTTCGTTACGATCCTGCAAGTACAGAAAAAATTGCAAATCAAAAAAGCTTCAGAAGCAAATATTTAATAAAACATATACTGAATATTTTAAAGAAACAGTACAAGCCAAATTAATTTGGTATCCAGTAGACTTTCATGTACTGCACAGTTACATTCTTGAAACTGGGAAGTATGTGAAATCACAATTTGTGAACTGAAGATTATAGGGGAAAAATGTGCTTTTGTTCTTGAATCCTCTAATAAAATGCCAAACAATTTTTTTTAAATGTATAATTGGAGTATACCTGGAGAGGATTTTGGTGGTCAACGCCCCTGAAGCCCAGTCTGTGACCAGGCCTCGTTTTTATATCTTATATTGTAGTTGTCATTGTTGATCTGGAAATGTGTGGAGAGGTTTGATGTGGGCTTGTACAATACCTGTACAATATGTGGCATGCAGTATTAACTATCACCAACCATCAATTGCCAACATTGCCATATTTCTTATAAAGTTGTATCAAACATAGGAACTCATCACACTTACATCAAATAAGCAGATAATAAAGACGAATGCACCTGAGAAAGTAATAACCAAGAAAAATGTAATACTTTAATAATATTGAGTAGCAGCAGTGGTTTTATAAGGCTACCACAGTTTACAACAGATGCTCAAACAGACCCTGCCCTAGTCAGCAGCCAGCTTTTCCCAAGCGTAGAAATTCCTAACCATTACTGTTCTCACAGCTGAGCTGCTTTCCAGCTTATTTATTCAACCTTTATTCCATGATCAGAGTCAACTTTAAGTGAAATGTGATGTTGGGTATAAAATTTCAACTGCTAGTTACCGAAAATGAGATTCATTTGTTGCAGAAAATGGGAGACTGCTGTACAGTGGTACCCCGAGTTTCGAACTGCTCCCAACTTGGCCAATTACGAAAGTGTATTATTGTAAGTGCTTTTGTAAGTGTATTTTTGGGGGTCTGAAACGGACTAATCTAATTTACATTATTCTTTATGGGAATAAATTCATTCTGTAACGGCACTTGAACAGCCCTCTGGAACGAAGAAAGGTCGAAACTCGGGGTACCACTGTACTTAAAATTTATATGCTATCTCACTTTTCAGCATTTGGCAGAAGCTCTAGCTGTAAAATAATAATATTTATCATTCACAATAATGTAATGTAATGTATTTTCTTTTTGGGGATTTTCTTTCTTTTTGGGTCACCCTGCCTCGGTGGGAGACGGCTGACTTGTTAAAAAAAAAAGAGGTACAAATTTTATAAAATTCTCTTGTGCATAAAAATATTTTGAAAAAGAATTACATATAAAAAGGCATCAAATAAGAATTCTAAATTGAAATTCAGTAACCTTTTTTATTCAGATATTTCCAATTAGATACGGTGGAACCTCCAGTCACGAGTTTAATCCGTTCCGTGACCTTGCTTGCATCTGGATTTGCTCGTTTGCAGTCAATTTTCTTTATTTAAATTAACTGAAATGTAATTAATCTGTTCCAGTGGAATTCCAGACAAAAAAATACATCAATAATTTCCCTAATATCAATTCAATGGCTTATTTAACTATCACAATTCATCTAATGACATAATAAACAATATTAATAACATAGAAACATGATATATACACTAGAATGAATAAAATACATGTCATTAAGTATGTGGTTAGTGGTGGTGACAACGGCCACTGTTGTTGTTGGGGTTTATAGGGTCACCACAGCGGCCATTCCTACTCCTGACTACGTGTAGGGAACCGAGGATAACCCAAAAAAAAAGTCAGAGTGACTTATAATTGCTACACTCTTAATGCTTTACATAACTGCTATGCTCTTAAGCTGTCTGCCACTGCTGATTCATGATGTCTACCACTGCTGATTCATGTTGTCTGCCACTGCTGATTCATGTTGTCTGCCACTGCTGATTCATGTTGTCTGCCACTGCTGATTTATGTTGTCTGCCACTGCTGATTCATGTTGTCTGCCACTACTGATTCATGCTGTCTGCCACTGCTGATTCATGCTGTCTGCCACTGCTGATTCATGCTGTCTGCCACTGCTGATTCATGCTGTCTGCAACTGCTGATTCATGCTGTCTGCCACTGCTGCTTCATGTTGTCTGCCACTGCTGTTTCATGTTGTCTGCCACTGCTGCTTCATGTTGTCTGCCACTGCTGCTTCATGCTGTCTGCCACTGCTGCTTCATGCTGTCTGCCACTGCTGCTTCATGCTGTCTGCCACTGCTGCTTCATGCTGTCTGCCACGGCTGTTTCACGTCTGCCACTGCTGCTTCATGTCTGTCACTGCTGCTTCATGATGTCTCCCACTGCTACCTCATGATATCAGCTCTCACTTTTGCTAGCATGTTTGCAGTGCCAATTGGACAGGTATTGGATGGTGATGTCATTTGTTTACTCTTGAACATCGCCAAAGAATTGAACATCTCTGCTACTCCGAGCTCAATTTCAAGGTACTTTTCTTTGTGAAACCAATCAAAATCATATCTATTTCTGTAGTATATCTTCCATTCTATCACATGAGACCAAAAAAAACGAGAATACAACCATAAAAACCATACGAAAATATACCACTAAGGAGGCTAATGGCTGAGAAGTGAACTCCGTTATTTATGGTCCGATTTCTTTCAGTTTTCGTGTACGTTAAGAAGCATCTTTCCATCATATATTGCCCAAGTTTCATTAAGACAGTCCAACAAACAACTGAGATCCAATTCCCTAGATCAAGAGCAAGAGCCCCTCACCAGTGTCAAGGAACCTCCCTTGAGGCCTGCTAGCATCTGGAAATTTCGCTTGCGTCATGGAAGCAAAAAATGGACCAAGCAACTGCTCGTATATGGAAAAACTCGCACGTGGATGCACTCGTAAGTGGAGGTTCCACTGTATTTATTTTCCTGTGAGAGAATCGTGAATACAGTAGTGTATTTCCACTGAGATAAATATACAGATCACTAATGAAAAACTATCTCAAAAAATGACATTCTACCTAAAAAAATTTAGCAAGCACTAACTTTAAAATGACATATGGTTTTATACTGTACTGTACATTATACAATCATTGTTTCAGCACTGTTTAAAGCTATTAAAAATGTTGCTTAAAAAATAACAAAAAATTAACAAGGAAACTGTATATGGAGTTAAAGAGAATGCAAAGTCAATGTTTAAAAAAGTATTCTCTAAACCTTAGTCTTGCATTATTCTCTTCCCTCTCCTATGTGCTTCATATTTCTGACAATTTGCTGGAATGACTAAAACATACCTGAAGGCCAGCTAGATAGATAAACTTATTCAGCGGTTCCTGATAGCGTTCAACATTCTTGCGACAAAGGTCGACTTGCTCTTCTTGTGTCTTGAAACGTGGAGGGATGAGTCCATGGAGGCCCAGAACCTGTCTCTCCTCCAGGGTGAAGGCCATACCCTGAAAACAGCAAATTTTTGTACTAGTGCTCCTGTTACTTATTAACCCTTTGAGGGTCGACAGGCCCTCTCCGAAACTCGTTCTCAGGGTCGGCCAAATTTAAAAAAAAAAAAAATTATTTTCTCTTATGAAAAGATAGAGAATCTTTTCCTGATCATAAAGACACCAAAAGTTTGAAATTTTATAGAAAACTTACGGAATTATGCTCTTGCAAAGTTAGCGGTCTCGGCGATGTTTACGCATCGGCGATTTTGCCCATTTTGAGCCCCATTTTCGGCCAATTTCGCTGTACTAGTCGACAAAAAACATGAATATTTCGCTAGAACTCCATTTTTTCTATCGAATGGGTGCAAGAAACCACCCATTTATGAAATTCAACTATCCAGTACAGTGGTCAGATTTTAGCAATTTTGCCAATTTCACACAAATTTCAAAAGATGCCAATTTCCGAATAGGGTCCAGAATAAACAAGAAAGACATTCCTGGCACTAAAATGACATTTCCTCTAGTCATTAGTCACGTCTCAAGGTCCCTCTTATATTCTTTTGCTTTCCATTTTGAATTTTTATTCTCACAAAAATTATAAGATTTACTGTTATGCAGACTACTGCATTAGTGTAAAAAATGGTATAAATATTATTGGTGCACTTGGGAAAGAATAGTAGACTCACCAGTTGACGTGTATTGCACGCTTGGCACGATTTGTTTACTTTCGAAGTTTGGTAAAAATCGAACATTTCTGCTAATTTGAGCTCAATTTCAAGGCACCTTTCATTGTAAAACCAGCCAAAATCATTTCAATTTCTGTAATATGTCTTCCATTCTATAAAATGAGACCAAGAAAACTAGAATACAACAATAAATACCATACGAAAATACACTGCAAAGTCGCTGATTTATTCCAAAAAAATGGTCAAAGTTTTTTTTTTTCTAATTATGCACTGTGTGCTGCAGGATTTTTTTTAGACAGTGCACACTGACAACATAGACCCATTCTTTCATATGAAGGCCTACCAGCTTTCTCCCACTAGATTTGAGGCCGCTAGAATTTATGCGTACTAGTACGTCAAAAAACCCTACGCGTAAGACGTACTAGTACGACGAAAACCCTCAAAGGGTTAAGAGACGGTAACTTTGCCGAGTAGGCCTAACTCCCTTAAAAATTAGATTTTCCCAAAAATTCTTTTATAGAATGATACATATTTTTATTGACAATGATATAAAGATTTTTACTTTTGGACCAAACCTAACTTAGAAACCTCACCTAACAAACTCATAAGCATCAAGGTATAAATTTACTAACTCTAAGAATTCTCCCTTTCAAAACTGAAATCTCTCTTTGGAGTAATAACAACACAACTAGGAACCAGAAACTTTATTCAGATGTTGTTTTGGTTGCACAGTAAGCTTTATCAAGTATGATACTATCAGACTTTATAAAGCATGCTTTACAATTTACATCTAAAAAGATTTACTAAATTATTACAGAAATGCCCTTATTAAATGGAGGCAGGCCACTTGTCATCTCAGAGTCATGGTACAGTAATACAGTATTATCAGATCTTGTTTTGCTACCACAACGTCAAAGTAATAATGTTACCAGATCCTGTTTTGTCACTGCAGTGTCATGATGATAATGTTACAAGATTCTGTTTTATGATCCCAGTGTTCTGGTAGCGATGTTACCAGACCCTGCTTTGTCATTCATGTCACAGGAACACAATATTATCATACAATGTTTTATATACAGCATAACATAGCAATTACTTAAACATTTAACCCTTTCACTGTCGGTGCCATAGTACTATGGCTTACAAGCCAGTGTTGGTGCCGTAGTATTCCACCAAATTCTAGCGGCTTCAAATCTAGCGGGAGAAAGCTGGTAGACCTACATGTGAGAGAATGGGTCTGCATGGTCAGTCTGCACATTATAAAAAAAATCCTGCACCATACAGTTCATAATGAGAACAAAAACACTATGACCGTGTTTTTAGTCTAAAACGCTGACTTTGAAGTGTATTTTTGTATGGTATTTATGGTTGTATTCTAGTTTTCTTGGTCTCATTTGATAAAATGGAAGATATATTACAGTAATGAGATGATTTTGTTTGGTTTCACGATGAAGACTACCTTGAAATTGACCTCAAAGTACAGGAAATGTTCGATTTTTGCCAATGTTCAAGAGTAAACAAATGACGTCACCGTCCAACACGTGTCCAACTGGCCAGTCTAATACACAGTCACGAATGGGTTGACATTATTTATACAATTATTACAATAATGCAGTAGCCTGCATAACAGTAAATCTTCTATTTTTTGAGTGAATAAAAATTCAAAATGGAAAGGAAGAGTAATATAGAAAGGGCCTGGAGACGTGACTAATGAACAGAGAACATGTTATTTCAGTGCCAGGAATGTCTGCACTGTTTATTCTGGACCCTATTTTGAATTTTTGGTAACCTGAAATTTGTGTGAAATTGTCCAAATTGCCAATTTCTGACCACTTTATTGGGTAGTTAAAATCAGTAAATGGGTGATATCTTGTACTCAATTGATGGAACAAATGGAGTTCTAGCAAAATAGCTTCGAGTCTGGCTGACCGGAAGAAGGGAAATTTTAGCTGAAAATACGTCTCAAAATTGGGCAAAAATCGCCGATCCATATATGTCGTCGAGACCGCAAACTTCGCGAGAGCGTAATTCCGTGAGTTTTCCATCAAATTTCGTAATTTTGGCGCCATTACCATCCTGGAGGTTATTCCGGGGATCAACGCCCCCGCGGCCCGGTCCATGACCAGGCCTCCCGATGGATCAGGGCCTGATCAACTAGGCTGTTACTGCTGGCCGCACGCAGTCCAACGTACGAGCCACAGCCCGGCTGATCCGGCACTGACTTTAGGTATCGGGAAAAGATTCTCTATCATTTCATGAGAAAATTTTTTTTTTTTAACTCTTTGACACTGAGAGCAAGTTTGTGAGCAGGGGTCTCAACAGTGAAAGGGTTAAATAATCATTCAAATGGTAGGCTACTGCAACATGCAGCAGGTACCCTACTGGAGTGTTCTGAGGGGTCATTGTCCCCTCTGGTCCCAGACCAGGGATCTTACATATTTTGACTGCAACTTACTATAATCAACATAAATTTTAACATGAAACATTAGACTCTGTGTATATACAAAGATAAAAACAAACAGATACTTCTTAAGCTGAGCAAGTGAAGCATGTCAAGTACATATCCACTGTTTTAGTGGCAGTGGGTGGGTGATGATAGTTGGTGGGTAGAGAAAGTAGAAAGTAGGTGGGTAGTGTTGGTAGTGGGTAGTAGTTGGTGCTTTACTATTTGGTGATAGTTGTGATAAATCTTTTGGTGGCTGTATTAGTAGTAGTAAAAACTCAGGGTAAGGGTTAATATATACATGTTAGAGAAGGGTATACAATACATACAGTACACAAGTAAGTTAAGCTGCATTATATACCACAGCAGACGGAGAGACACGGTGTTTTACTTTGTATGGCCTCTCCCAGTTGCCTGCTTCACTTTAAAAACATGTATTATAATAAAAACCATAACCATACTGTAAATACTCTACTAATTTGTTACATTAAACTAGAACAGTTGTAGCATCATGAACCACAAGTCTAGAGTACATAACACGAGTAAAACAATGGCAGGTGTCAGTATTGCAAGAAAGAATCAAGACAAGGTCACCCCCGGTTAAGAGGAGTCACTTGTGTGAATGTTGGTCAGTCACTCCAGTGATTAGTGACCTCCACAACCTCTTGCTTCACTTCTCAAATGTTACTCCAGTGATCGATGACCTTTACAACTGCATATATGTGCACGATTTCTCGAGATGATAAAAATTTGAAAAAATGTTAAATATAAGTTTAGCAATAGTAAACATTGTGGATGAAGTTCTATGACAGTGGATAAAGTGTCATAACAGTGCACTGGCATGTCATAATTAATGGATGGGGTGTCAAAACAGTGGAGTCAGTGTCATAAAGGGGCAGAGAGCTAACTAGAGGGGTGTCATAATTAGTGGACGGAGTGTCTTAACAGTGATGTCTTGAAAGTGGCTGGAGTGTCAATCAGTGACATAAGTGGAGGGACAGCAGCACCATGTGGAGTGTGGAGCAAGCAGTGAGAGAGTGTTGCTGCTGGTGTGTGTGCCACCACCATCAGTCCTCAGGTATGTCTCCAGTCCATGGAGTGGATTCAAGACACTATAATCCACCAGAGACCTTACAACCTGCCTGATATTAATCTTCCTGGTGCCCTCTATAATCTACTTAATACTCTCTAATTTACCTGACACTCTTTATAATCTACCCAACACCTTCTGACATCTACCCAACACCCTCTGCAATCTACCCTACGCCCTCTGAAATCTACCCAACGCCTTCTGAAATCTACCCTACGCCCTCTGAAATCTACCCTACGCCCTCTGAAATCTACCCTACACCCTCTGAAATCTACCCTACACCCTCTGATATCTACCCTACGCCCTCTGAAATCTACCCTACACCCTCTGAAATCTACCCTACACCCTCTGAATCTACCCTACGCCCTCTGAAATCTACCCTACACCCTCTGAAATCTACCCTACGCCCTCTGAAATCTACCCTACGCCTCTGAAATCTACCCTACGCCCTCTGAAATCTACCCTACGCCCTCTGAAATCTACCCTACGCCCTCTGAAATCTACCCTATGCCCTCTGAAATCTACCCTATGCCCTCTGAAATCTACCCTCTGAAATCTACCCTATGCCATCTGAAATCTACCCAACGCCCTCTGAAATCTACCCTACACTATAATCTACCTAATAAATAACTAGAATCTCTAAGATATGAACCCTGGACAAAACTTTTGCCAGCAGAAAGAAACTTGCCACAATCTTTGCTAGATTAAGCAGAGCAAACGTTCCCTCAGTGTTGAAGAAAACAGTCACAACAGTGACTCTGAATATGCAACTACCATATTTGCTGGCACTTGTGCCAACCTGCACAGTCTAAAACAGTTCAATTTGCTACTAGCAGATATCAGAAACATTGCTGCAATAGGTATAAAAGTTTTCAAGAGGGAACTAGATCACTACCTCTGCCAAGTACCAAATCAACCAAGCTACAATGGCTATCTTGGCAAGCAGACACCAAAAACAACAGCCAGGTTGAACAGGCAAGCAAAGAAAAGCTTACTCCCAGGCTGAGCTGCAAGGGTAGAAAAGAAACTGGTCAGACACACATCATGGGTACACAGGAATATACTACCATATATTACCAAGCATAAGTCACACATAACCATAAGATGCGAGGGTATACTTTATCTCCTGTGAGTTTTAGGGCTCACTTGCTATGGGGTCAAGCCCCTCCCATTCTGTGATTTCTCCCTCCTACCACTCCTCCCTCATTCCCTCCCTCTCACTGCATCTCCCTCATGCAATCCCTCTTACTTTTTCTCCCTCCTCTTGTTTCTAATTTAGGTTTGTGAACATACCACAAAAATGATCTTGAGGGCAGAAGGATGTCGAGGTCACAAAAAAAAAATCAAAACCTTGGGTAGCTTTAAAAATACGTTTGACAAATATACAAGCAAGAAAAGTGGGGTTGGCGATGGCCTCACTTAGCAGTGTCCAGTAAACACTTCCTACTACAGTGCTCATTCATTATTGTGTACTTTTTTATTTATATTATTTTTGTGTATTTTTTGGGGTAGTATGAACTTGTAAGATGCAAGGTATAACTCTGGGCATATTTAAAAAAAAAAATGTGGCTAATGGCCAGCAATATGTGGTGTTTACCAGTATATATAAAAAAAAAAGAGAGAATTCTAGCATTGTTTACCCAGGCATAAACAGTGTAAATGAGTGTTTTGAAAACCTTGAGCCATAGAAACTTCCCAGAAGTGTATGTAACAGGATGTTGTCAAGGTCAGAAACTGGGAAAATATGTGGTAAAGCCTGGTTACTCTGGCTAGAATCTTTAAATTACATTTATAATTCATAGGTCAGTAAACTATTCTACCCTACTTAATTGTTCTATGGATACAATTCCTAAACTACAACTATAATTGCCTTATAAGTAATAACTCCTAGACTACTATACTATATCCCCTTTAACTGTACTGCTGCTACTACTACAGTACAGTACTCAAAAAAACTCTGGTTCATGATGGATCAATGTTCCTAACCAGTATTAGCATAACCTTTGTAATTATCATCAATTAACTGGTGCTGCAGTACCAGTCAATTGATGATAATTACAATGGTTATGCTGATAATTACTTTGACCCAAGCTCTTGACATCTGCTGCCCCTGCTTACTTAATAGTCAACAGATACCTAGGTGTTGATGTTGTAGGCTGCTTCTCTGAAGACTGTTCCAATCACCTCTCTCCCCCCAAATGAAAATAAACCATACTTCAGTATTATACAGTATCTTGTTTGTTTAGGTTATCTCAGATTATTTATCACTCATCATTTAAATAACCCAAGAGCAATTGCAAAGCCTCAATACCTGAGTTCTGAGTCATCCTCACTGATGCATGGGTGAATGCTTCCTATCACAGCCAGGTGCAAGGACCAAAATGTTAAATTTCTGACAAATTACTGTGTTTATTACTCACTTGTAACTATGAGCCATTGTTCATCTTGGTTATCTGATGAAAGTTTTCATAAATGACAAAGAATTTTAGAAGTAAAATTCAACATCTGTTTCTGGCGCATTTACAGTTGCCAAACTGAAGCATTACATTTTACTGCTGCAAAGACAATTTTAGAATAAATGCTTCTGTCACGAGGTATATGCAAAAAAAATATTACTTAGGGCTTAAATACAACCTACAAGAATACATAAGCATCACTTGTAATCAGTCCCCATTCTGTTCCCCCTCCCCCTATAGCTTGATCCTCCAAAGAACTCTTCCTCCAACACCATATGCTGCTACATTCTTCAAGTTTGCCCTATGGGACTATTAAAAGCTTTACTGAACCTCAGATAAACTTCATCATCTTCACTATAGTCCACTGCCTTGAATACCTTACAAACAAAAGCCAGTATATCTTAAGCAAGAATGACCCCATGAGCTCATTGTGACACCTTAGTTAAATGATATGCAATAGTAAGCCAATGGTGAGCCAGTGTGTCCACCACTAAATATTCTCTACAAGTACAAATGTGATAAATGGTTTTGAAAACTGACAAGTTGAAGATTGTGACACTTAGGCAACATATGGGAATCTTTATTAAGGAAACGTTTCTACATGAGTGATGGACTGAACACATCGAATCCAGGCTGACGGACTGATTACCTCAAACTCCTCCTCTCTTTACCCATTTCTACTTTGTATTGGACTGATGAAGCCACTATGTGGTGAAACATTTCCTTAATAAAGATTCCCATATGTTGCATAAGTGTCTCAGTCTTCAAGTACAAATATAGTGTGACCTGGTCAGCATAAAGTTACCTAAACTACTGACCTTGTTAAGCCTGGGGTCTCTGATGTAGTCAATTCCTCGCACCATGTTGGGACATATGTTATCACCAGTTAGTTCATGGAATGGCCGTTGACCAATTTGGTCTCTACGTAGCTGATCCATGCTGCCTAGGATTGCTCTGGCCTGCCCGCCCACACGCCCACTACAGCTGAAACAGAAACTTATAGTGAGGAATAAAAAGGCATAATACCGTGACTGGAACAATACACGAATATCCTGCACATATTCATAGCATGTGACTACTTAATGGTCCAAGCTGGACCGGAATGTCGTCATAAGTTTCTTTCTTTTAAAAACATAATACAGTATTAAGACCCTCACAAACATCATGGGAGTTAAAAAAAAAAATTAAATTTCACAATTACACAAAATTGTTGAACGAACTTACGCTGACCATTCTAGTCTCTGAAACAAGTTGCAGTCATATATGCTAAAGTGTGAGTGTGACTTTGTAAATGGTCCAAGTCGGACATAAACGTCGTCGTAAGCTCCTCTCTTCTATGTGCGGGTTATTTGTGTATCATTCCAGTCACGGTATTGTGCCTTTTTTTTGTTATATATGCTAATTACTGTAGCCTCTAACAACTATTGAAAGCATACACATGTATGCTAATTATTCTAGCCTCTGTAATTGTTGCATGTATTATTGTAGCCTTTAACAAATTGTTACAACTGCTTATGACTACCATGACCTCTGAAATACAATTTTTTGCATGCATATGCTGCTTATCTTAACTTTAAGAACACACTGTTGCATGCATCATGCATAATACATTACTTGAATGATTTACTGTATATCCAGATGAATATGGAAGGTAGAAAACTGGATCCTACACAGGTATATACACAAGACAACTGAAACTTCAAGACAATGTTTTATTGAATTGTTTCACCCCTAGTGAGTGCAACATTTGTATAATGAATGTCCTCGTGTTCCACAAGTAGTGCATATGTACTCACCTATTTGTAGTTGCAAGGAGTTAGTCACAGCTCCTGGCCCTACCTCTTTGCACATAGAAGAAGAAGAAGAAGAAGAAGAAGAAGAAGAAGAAGAAGAAGAAGAAGAAGAAGAAGAAGAAGAAGAAGAAGAAGAAGAAGAAGAAGAAGAAGAAGAAGAAGAAGAAGAAGAAGAAGAAGAAGAAGAAGAAGAAGAAGAAGAAGAAAAAAAGAAGAAGAAGAAGAAGAAGAAGAAGAAGAAGAAGAAGAAGAAGAAGAAGAAGAAGAAGAAGAAGAAGAAGAAGAAGAAGAAAGGGGGGGGGGCGGCAACGGCAGAAGGGGCGGCACACCACCACTTGCTTCCCCACAATACCACCACTGGTTGCTAAAGGTAACAAGCCCCCACCCACCATGGTAGGATCACTGTAAATCTGGTAATTTTCATGTCATCATGGTCGCTAATGTAAATCTGTGACCGGTTGCAAAAGGAGTTTTATTCTTTCAGTGGGGTCTGAGACAGACTTCCTTCCTTGATGATTGCCTGATCAACCCAGACTGTTGCTGCACAAAACCCTTACATTGCCATGTCATGCAGAGAGCTATAAAAAATGGGTTTCTTCAACTACGACGATGCAAATTAATCAATGTGCTGTTATATTTTAAACTTCACCCCATGCAAATCCAGCCCTCGGTAAAATGAACTTTAATAATTTAATATGTATTACAAAGGATCTATTAACGTACCCTTTTTATTACAGAAGTTTGAAATTTAATTAAAATTATTTTCATAGTTCAATAAATAACAAAACATAATTAACACACTATCCCTCTCTGAGACAGAGCTTATCTTTAATATAATAATCAAAGCTCACATTAAACACACAGTCCTTATCTAAGATAGCGCTGTTTTTTTAAACAATAATCAAAGCAATGAAATCTAAGCTAATTGACATTGTCCAAGGATAAATCTGTCTCCACTCAACATTCCTAGTTCATTTATTGGGCTTAAGTGTAACATCCTGCTTAGGATCTACCTAGCGTGTGTGCTAGTTAGTGCCGGGTACTTGGTTAGTTGTAATGTCACCAACCCAGCAGCCCGGTCCCAGACTAATCCTACTGGTTAATGTGACTATGATCAATAAGGCTGTTGATGATATCATCATGCAGTCCAGCTGATCAGGAACTGACTTGATAATAGTCATTTCTGCTTACATAAATATATTAACTAGTTGGTGGCATGATAGCTGCCAGTTCTGCACGTGACTGGTATAACCGGTTGATGACGACAAAGGTCAGTACTGCACAAGTTCCTAAAACAGTCGGTTGGCGGCATGACTAATACACACGTGGCTAGAATACCAGATTATTTGCATGATAATAGTTGGTTGTGCTAACGTGGCTAGAACAACCTGTAGTTATCATGATCAGTTACGCTCATATGACTAACCTACTTATTACACACCGCAGTGCAGGATTCAGAACGTGAGTAGCAAGTTTATTCCGGTATACACAAATACAGTTACACAGATTAACATGCACAGCAGTACGTATGTAGAAAACCTAGGATAACCCAAAAAAGTCAGTGACTTATTTCCATTGGGGTCCTTTTAATATCTTATTATTATACTATAAAGGAGATAATAGCTTATTATTTAACACATAGGCCGTTTCCCACCAAGGTAGGGTGGCCCGAAAAAGAAAAACTTTCATTACTCACTCCATCACTGTCTTGCCAAAGGCATGCTTACACTACAGTTATAAAACTGCAACATTAACACCCCTCCTTCAGAGTGCCGGCACTGTACTTCCCATCTCCAGGAATCAAGTCCGGCCTGCCGGTTTCCCTGAATCCTTTCATAAATGTTACCTTGCTTACACTCCAACAGCACGTCAAGACCTAAAAACCATTTATCTCCATTCACTCCTAACACGCTCACGCACGCTCGCTGGAAGTCCAAGCCCCTCGCACACAAAACCTCCTTTACCCCCTCCCTCCAACCTTTCATAGGCCGAGCCCTACCCTGCCTTCCTTCCACTACAGATTTATACACTCTCGAAGTAATTCTATTTCATTCCATCCTCTCTAATGTTTGGAAATAAAGAGAGCGTGAACTTACAATATATACCAAGGTTTGGTAGTAGTTCTGATGAACTTGCGTATTACTCGAGTACAGAACAATTGAAACAGGTAGAAAAGTATTAGGTCACGCCGACTCTCCAGCAAAAGTTTGTCAAATCGAACTCGTCAGCAAAGCCAAGTTAAGGACAATTAACAGTTGTGTATGCGATGTACTGGAACAGCAAGCAAGCGCTGTAATCCACCAATCACCAACGGCAACACTAAGCTGACTGAGTGACTGTTCAATAGGCAACCGTGGTGGGCTTCCCAGTGTCCACGTGTTAGTCACTGCTCCCTCACGCTCTTCCTACTACTTTTCTATCTTTTGATAAACCTTAAGTAGAGTTTAGAGTTTTTCTACTTCAGGAGTCAGACTCGTCTGATGTTTGCCTGGTCAGCCAGGCAGTTGCTGGCCCGCTGACCTACACATCTATCAAAGCCTGGTTGATCTGACACCTAGTGAAGATGCTTGTCCAGTTTCCTCTTGAAGACTTACCAAGGTGGATGCTTCCCTTATCTACACTCGCCCTACAACCTATATACTGATTTATGACGTAGGCATAAATCAGTATATGCCCGGCATGATAGTGACTTTCTTTGTACCTATTAAACCAAAACTGTAACTACACATTGTAACCTTTACAAAGAAATAAAATCTTTACAAACTGCCTTATCTACACATGACCTTATAAAAAAATAAAAAGATACATTGTTAATAAAACTCAAACTAGGAGCTAAACAGGAAAGGGCCATACAGACGGCGGCGGCGGCGGCGGCAGCAGCAGCAGCAGCAGCAGCAGCAGCAGCAGCAGCAGCAGCAGCAGCAGCAGCAGCAGCAGCAGCAGAAAGCAGCAGCAGCAGCAGCAGCAGCAGCAGCAGCAGCAGCAGCAGCAGCAGCAGCAGCAGCAGCAGCAGCAGCAGCAGCAGCAGCAGCATGCAGCAGCAGCAGCAGCAGCAGCAGCAGCAGCAGCACAGCAGCAGCAGCAAGCAGCAGCAGCAGCAGCAGCAGCAGCAGCAGCAGCAGCAGCAGCAGCAGCAGCAGCAGCAGCAGCAGCAGCAGCAGCAGCAGCAGCAGCAGCAGCAGCAGCAGCAGCAGCAGCAGCCAGCAGCAGCAGCAGCAGCTGCAGCAGCAGCAGCAGCAGCAGCAGCAGCAGCTGCAGCAGCAGCAGCAGCAGCAGCAGCAGCAGCAGCAGCAGCAGCAGCAGCAGCAGCAGCAGCAGCAGCAGCAGCAGCAGCAGCAGCAGCAGCAGCAGCGGGCAGCAGCAGCAGCAGCAGCAGCAGCAGCAGCAGCAGCAGCAGCAGCAGCAGCAGCAGCAGCAGCAGCAGCAGCAGCAATAATAATAATAATATTAAGCGCTAAACCAGAAAGGATCTTACAGCGCTTTTTAGGCACATAACAGTTTATTCCAAAAACAAAAACCTTCAACCCGCTTTAAACAATTAATGACACTAAATATAAATGAAATCTTAATACAAAAGCTATATATGACAATATAGCAATTCAAAAGTTATAACTGTGTACTGACCACCCAAGACTCTCAGTTATCACAAGGAAGCGTCTGGTGTTTGTGAAACATACTAACATGCTAACGCGACGGGCTGGAGTTTTGAGATTATGACCGCGGGTTCAATCCCGGCCGGGGGTATGGTTTGAAACATATTATGTCTTATTGTTGTGCGTTTATCAAACACAACACAAAATTCATTTCTGGTCTTTTTTTCGCCCCCCCCCCGAGTGCCTTCACTCTGCCTGCTCTTCCTTTGGAAAGCCCCACCTTCTTCAACGTAGACAATGACTGACAAACTGACTAGTCATGCCAACGGACTTTCACTTGGGCGACAATTCCCACAAGTGACATCAAACATCACTGACCCAGCACAACTAGTTACTTCACTAGGACGTCAATTTCCACAACTGTGCTGACATCAAACATCACTGGCCCGGTACAACTAATTACTTCAATAAGACGTCAATTCCCACAAGTAACTGCACTGACATTAAATATCACTGACCCAGCACAACTAAATGCTTCACTAGGACAATTTCCACAACTGTGCTGACATCAAACATCACTGACCCGGTACAACTAATTACTTCAATAAGACGTCAATTCCCACAAGTAACTGCACTGACATCAAATATCACTGACCCAGCACAACTAAATGCTTCACTAGGACGTCAATTTCCACAACTGTGCTGACATCAAACATCACTGACCCGGTACAACAAATTACTTCAATAAGACGTCAATTCCCACAAGTAACTGCACTGACATCAAATATCACTGACCCAGCACAACTAATGCTTCACTAGGACGTCAATTCCCACAAGTAACTGCACTGACATCAAACATCACTGACCCAGCACAACTATATACTTCACTAGGACGCAAACATCGAAAGAAAGAACCTCCAAGAAAAAGTAATTATTTAATTAAAAAAAATTGTAATTTACGTCCATATCAACAATTCTGAGTGGAACCTGCAAAACAAAAATTGGCTTCCTTCCTGCAAGCTGAGTTGTCTGCTTTCTGTTTGCAGTCAAATGTGTTCCTTTGCCCAAACTTTGAAAATTTACGTAAGCTGCTTGCTCCAAAAAAAAAAGAAAGGGGGGCCCATTACCTAAAACACAAAAGGGGGGGGGGCCCAAAGAGTTAAGTCTCCCACCAGGCTAAGAGGAATTCCCAAAATAGACCCTTAGGTGCCTTCAAAAAGGGGCCGGACAGATACCCAAGTCAGAAAAAAACCCCCGATCACTGTGGTTGTACTTTGGGCCCTAGTTGGCCAGCATTTAAACAGCCTGGTAAACCCTTCCAGTCCCGGGAATTTAATTAATAAATAACAGTACTCTCGAATAGGAAAAAAGTTGAAATTTTACAGTGAAAAACAGGAAGGGGTGCCTACTCCCATGGGGAAATTTTTAAAGGACAAATGGTTTGTTGAAAAAAAATTAGGTATTTCTAATGTAAAGGGGAAAAAAATCTCTCATAAACAGTGTAAAAAGTGTAAGTTAAAAAAAGGATAGGTTGGGTAAAGGTACCAAGCACCTTTAGACCAGCGAGCGGGGAAACCCCAAGCTGTAAACGGTTGCCGCAGCGAAGTTAAACAGAAGTCAGTCATTTTAGTAAACCCCCTGAAAATGTTAATCTCCCAAGGTAAAAATCATGTGATCCCAACAGTAAAAAATTTTGTAAAAATACAAAAAATGTAACTGGGGTTTATGAAAAAAAAAAGGTAGTTGTAAAATTTTTTTTATCACACCGCCAATTCCACTGAGGCAGGGTGACCTAAAAAGAAAAAATTAAGGTTTCATAAGAAATTTCTGCAAAAAGGAGTCACGTCCATGTGCGAATACCAAAATTTTTACCCAAATATTTTAAAAACGGGAAAAATGTTTTTTTGGGTCTGTCAAAGAAAGAAGGGGCAAGGGGAGAAAAATTTCTTTTAAATTTTAGAAGACAAAAAAAAAAAAAAAAAAAAATTTCCCTTTTTGAAAAAATGATTTTTGATGACAGTTGTGGTAAGGAGTGGGTAGGTAGAGCTGCCCCCCCTGGTGCTGCCTTGGAAGACAATGCCCAAAAAGATATAAAAATGCAAGACAGGCACCAAAGGGAGACAGGGGGTTTTTGTATTATAGTAGCAGGAAATGCCCAAGACAAAAAGGTCCAAAAACAAATTAGCAATCTGCAGAGATGGGGGAAAAAAAAAAAAGGAGATGCTCAAGAAGGGTGTTGATACAGTTTCCCTTCCAATGCAACTAAGTGACATTTATTTGGCAACTTTTGCTCTCCGGGGTTTACAAGCTCATCAGGCTTGATAAGCTCCCGAAGCAAAACTTGCCACAATAAATGTCAATTTGTTACTTGTGTCCCTTTTTCTTTACTATTGTCGGTAAAATTTTACCAAATTTTACAAACAGTACCAAAAAATGGTGGTGGTATGATGCTAGTACAGATAAGCAATGGGGGAGATCAAGAAAAACTGCAGCGGGAACCATCACAAAAATCTTGGCGAAGATTTCAATCCCGGAAGGAGCCCGTACATGACCCCACTAAAAGAGTTTAATCTGTTTCCCTGACCTTTCTTGCATCTAAATTTGATTTTGCAAATCAATTTTCCCTCTTTTCTTTTTTTTTCCCCCCCATAAAATACTTAATAATTTTTTCCCTAACCTTTTAAAAAATTTAATCTATCAAAATTCATTTTTAAAATAATAATACACAATATAAAAAAACATAGAAATTTGATATATAAGTGGAAAACCCCCCGGTTAACGATATTTTTTCACTCGAAAATTGTTAGTGCCGTACTGACCCAATTTGTTCCCAAAAAGGAAATTGTGAAGTAGTTAGCCATTTCAAACCCCCAAAATACACTAAAAAAACGACTTACATAAAATACACTTACAATTGGGCCATTCAAGGTGATCGTTATGCGGGGGTCCCCCGTTCCTAATTTAATTAAAAATGATTTTGTATGGGCAGCTCGGAGCGAGAGAGTTTATCTGGAGAAAAAGGGCAAAATAACCTTGAAAATTTTGCTATCGACACCTATGATTTTTTTCCTATTACAATTCATCTAATAGACATAAAAAACAAAATAAAAAACAAGAAACCCGATATATACCTAGAATGAAAAAAATTGTCATTATATACAAGTGGGGGCGGTTTTTTAACCGCTCCAGCATTGTTTTGAAACCTGCCATTAGTGACGCCTTTTTTAACCCCCGTTTAATTATATTTTTTTAAGTACATTTAATTTTTAATGTTTTATATAATTTTTTAACAGTGGGCCCCCCAACATTCAATGGCAACGAATTCATGCATTTTAAAGCAAAAATTTTTCCCCTTTGGGTTCTTAAAAAAAATAAATCGATACGATTCGACAAACGGTTTCCCCGTGTGGCCAGTGTTTAAAGCCCGCCTTTGTGCCGCATCTAAGGATCATCGGGACATTCCGTATTATCCATTTAAAACACTGTTTTTGGTGCTTGCTGCAAAATAAATAACCCTGGGCCCCAAAAAACTTCTAGGCCAACCCTTCGGAAAAAAAGGGGCAAATTTGGTTGAACACAGTAAGATTTATCATGTATGATATTTCATACTTTATAAAGCATGCTTACAATTTAATCTAAAAAGATTATAAATTATTACAGAAATGCCCGTATTAAATGGAGGCAGGCATTGTCATCCTCAGAGTCATGGTACAGTAATACAGTTTTAT